TACTTTGAGAGATGTAACATTTTAGAAGTCTGCACAGGGGGTATCTGATACTTTTAGTAAATTTCATTTTCTTTTTGTGATATATACTGAGATAACAAAGGAGGGAGGGGGTGATATTCTAGATACCAAAAAATAAATTGTGTGCAATATTTTTAAAATTAACTAGGGGGATGTATTCCTTTATAAGCCTGCATTGAGTTATCAATTAATATTTACATTTAAATTATCATATTAATAATTACAGTTTGTCATGTTTCATTTTTTTGTGTATTTTTAAATTTTTCTCCTTTAAGCCTACCTATGGAGGCTGAGACGTGGGGACTGGGGAAGGTTAAAACTTTTTTTAATTCTTTTTTTACTTTAAGGCTTCACCTTCTTTTAAAAAAGAAGCATTTAAAAAAAATTATTGGGAAATATTAACGTTTTTTGGGTTATTTGGCATGAGAGTATAATGTGACTTTGGAGCCTTCACAGAACTACGCAATGTTAGCCGGCTCAGTGAGGTAATAAGATTTAGTCCAGTTTATAATTAGAAAAATTATACAAAATTTCAAAAGTAGTGATTAAAAAATTGACTTATATATATTTATTACAATAAATATAAAATCATGAATTAAGAAACATCAAATATCATATTGAACTGAAATGATAAAGAATAATGTACTCATACTAAATGTTATGGAAACGACGAACTAAATAAAATATTTTGGGATATGATTATTTACGGTTTAGTAATTTGAAATAAAAACAAAATGTTGATAATTGTTTTTTTAACACCACACAAGCCCGCAGTGCCATCGGGACGCTTTTGCAAACATTTTAATCATTTCTCGCGATAATATTATCGTATTATATTCTTATTATTCGTATAACTTTAAATTTGTCATTGCTATTTGTATTATCAATTCTATTTTATGGTATTTACTTAAGATTAGTTTTTAACTATTTATAAGTGACCTCGATTGTAAGATCTTTTATCAAAAATATATTGATTAATTGATAAGATCATTGTGTTCTTTATTTCGGAAGCCTTGTTTCGGCAAAACAACATTGAGCAGTTATGTTAATTCTTCCACACAACAAGTATTTTGGTTTTGTTAGGTCTTCTTATTTTCCTAATGATACAAATGCTAAAGATTGTTTGAGGAAGGTTTCACTAATAATTAAAAATCTTGCTGACAAGTTTGAAAAAGACGAGAGTGTGGTGGCTTAAATAAAATAAATGAGTTTGGTATTAAAACTAATTACATCAATTGTTATAATAAAGATTGTTTCAGTTTTAATTAAATGAGTTCAACGCGTAGCCAGAAAATATTTTTAATATTTTATGCTTTGTATATATTTATGTAAAAATAATCTTTCTCCCGCCGTTTAAAATGATCTATTTACCTTAAAACGTACCAATAAATACTCTCTAAGAAATACCTACTTTCAAATTTTAACAAATTTTGGATTGATTTACCAGCACCCTATTTTTGTAATAAAACTGTTTTGCCTAATTTTGGTCAACCTACTTCTTTGCATCTTTTTAATTTAAATGAAATGCGCAAGGAAAGGAATGGGTTTAAACAAAGTGAAATATTATGTTTGCAAAAATATTATTTGGGGTTAAAAGTGTATCAGTTTTTGCTCATAAGATGTACCAGTTTTTGTTTAAAAGACATCTTTGTCAGTCACTTGTGTCAGAAACCCATATCTATTCAAAAACATTTAAAATTTATTATGCCTCATACAGGTCTTTAAACATCTTAAAAAAACGTTGAGAAGGCAAACATATATTTTTTTAAATAATTTTAATCTGTGGAAGTTACTGGTATACCTGTTACTACAACTTAAAAGTTTTCATTCTATTTATAAAATATTTAATTTTTTCTTCAAACTTAATAGTTGTTTAATTTTCTACGTGTAATTCTTTATACTTAGACGGAATTTAGCGTAATAAAAATCAAATAACTTGTGCAACCAAGGAGGTATAATAGCTTTGCTGAAGGGAGAACGAAGCCGAAAATGGATTTAAATCGCGTTACAGTCTTTGTAATATAATTATTCCAGTAGCAAGTCAAAATAACGCTTTTGCAAAAAAATAAAAAAATTTTGAAATGTAACTAGTAAGCCTTGAGAGTTTCAATCGAAATGGATTCATAAAATAAAAGTTTTTTGGATATGTTTTTAACAACTATTCAATCAATCAAGAAGTTAATTAAAACAAAAACCACGATTAAGGTGAAGTAATTGTTTCTTGCGTACCTCAATTATAGGTAAAAATATCATAGTTTTAGACAATATTAACTAGCTATTTGAGCCTAATTTTTTGCTTGCCTGTTCAGCTATAGGTTAGTTACGTTCTTTAAGACTGTTCTTTTAGCCAGGAACTTATTAAATTCCGCCAGGATTTTATTTTGTGTTGGAGTATATTTACTGGATTTAAAAGCAAATTGCTTTATTCTAAATATAAAATACATGCCAAAAATATAAAGAGATATAAAATACATGCCAAAAATACTACCAATTCTTATCTAGACATTTATTAATTCAATTCTAATCTAGAAATTTATTATTAGTCGTTCAAAAATCACAACAAAAAATATCAACAAACTGACTTTAAATATAGATAGTTTTCGATCACATGATGCTAAAAGCTCGCGGCTTTTATTGTATGGCAAAAAAAGTAAACAAACTGAGCGTTTATTAGTATAACGTATTTAATAATAGCATGTCTTAAATTTAACTTCTTTTTTAATGATTATTTTTGGTTAAATTTATGTAGAATATAATTCTCTATCTATAATATAATTAGTTTAATTGTTTTTAAGTTAAAACTCTATAAAATAAGTTGTTTTCTAAAGTACTAGCTAAAGTTTAATATATATATATATATATATATATATATATATATATATATATATATATATATATATATATATATATATATATATATATATATATATATATATATATATATATATATATATATATATATATATATATATATATATGTATATATATATATATATATATATATATATATATATATATATATATATATATACACACACATATATATACATACATATATATATATATATATATATATATATATATATATATATATATATATATATATATACACACACATACATATATATACATATATATATATATATATATATATATATATATATATATATATATATATATATGCAATTTTTTTTTTCTTTTCCCGAAACAATTTTTTTTCAAAACTCATGTTTTTCCTGTGCTCCAAACTTGTATTATTTATATACTTATAGCAAAAATATACGAAAAATACTCTCGTCATGAAATTTCTTGAAATTAAAAAGCTACATTACGGTGCTACAATACAACACTGCTACATAAGATACTGTTTCTTCTAAATTATTTTATTAATGTATAGATTCGAAGTTGGGAAAAGCAGGATAGAAACAAATTTCTATATACAAAAACATAAAATAAAGATAAAAAAGCAATTTATAAGGTGAATCACCATATTATTTAATTCGTATAATAATAGTATGAATTAAATAATATGTTGATTTCCCTTATAAATTGTTTTTTATCTTTATTTTATATAAATTATATACTAATATATACTATATATTATATACTAATGGCAATATTTATATTATTAATATAGTTATTGGTTTCAGGATACTAGAGCAATTAAATAAGTAAATCATCATATTACTTATATAGACCGAATTTTTAAAAAAAATACATCTTCTTAATATATTTAGCATGTTTAAACAACATGAATATGTTCACTGTGTATGCAGGGCCGTCCCGAAGAGAGGGGTGCCGACTAAAGCCAAATATTTTATTTTGCCTACTAACTTATTTAAAAAAAAAAAAAAAAAGGCCTCGTAGCTTTCAATTTGCAGGTGGCTTGTAAAAAGTATAATATTAACCTCTTATAAACAATTGTTTAACATAATTTCTTAATATATGATATGCAAAATATAAATAATAATTTAACTACATAGACCAGAAATTTTTTTTCGGCGATAAAATAGTTGTAGTTAACCTTATTGAACCTCTTATACCCCACCCCTAGTGTATGGTTCCTTAAAGGAATTTTTCAATTTTTTTTTTTTTGTGTTATATTAAACTAGATAAAAATTCATCAACACATTTTACATTTTAACAACAAAAAAAAATTCCAGTTTAAAAGTTACAACCATTCAAAGTTATTTTAAGAGTTAAATTTTTTTTATTCTATTGTTATTTAGGTGCCCTGAGAACTAACAGTCTTGTCAAAGATTACCGCGGTAATTTGTGACAAGACCGTTTAAGTGCATTTAAAGTGGTTAAATGCACTTCCGCGGTGCAGTGTGACAAGACCGTAAGGTCTTCTTAGGGCACCTAAATAACAATAAAAAAAATAAAATAATAATAATAAAATATTAGTAAATTGCATGTATATATGTAATGGAAATAAAAATAGTTCCAAATCATGATATTTTAAATGTTATGTGTTATTGATTAGGCAAAATTTAATTCTTTTTTAAAAAATACAAGGTTTTTATAAAAAAAATTAACACGAAGTTATTAAGCAAGGAACTTTAACTTGAAAAATGTTTGGAAAGATATTTCCGATATAAACTTAAATCCCGAAAAATTGCAATACTGAGAAACTGGCCTTCTCATTTTGATCTATTTATGCAATATATCTGGCCGAGTAAAAACACTAAAATGTACATGGAATACCATATTCATTGTGGTTTTTACTCATAATGGAAACGGCTAACTATAAAATCTTAGGCAGCTAATATAAAAAATATAAAAAAATGAAAAATCATGTCATTAAAAATCATACTTAGAAATCAAAGTTTGACTGTGGTAGACGGACGGAAACTAGATTTTATTGAAATCATATTAACTTTTGAGATTTGGATTGATTAATAAAGTATTAAACAAAAATAACTACTTGTTTTTAATTTTTAAGTTAAAAGCTTACTTTTAAAACATTGTAAACAAGAATATTTATTTTCAAAATCTAATTTTAAAATAAAAAAAAATACACAAAAGTTAAATATAAGACCAAATATCTACAATATATGACTGTTACAGTGCAACGCTGAATACGTTCACGTGACATAGTTTTAATGACAAGGCGCATGGCAAAAAAAATGTTCTTAAACAAAAAAGTTACAAAGAATAAAAAACTGAGAAAAACAAAAAATTTACCAACTAATTTACCAGATAGAACAAAACAAAACGACAAAGTAATTAAAGATCACAAGCTATTTGCAATAAGTGAGGTGAACGTAGAGAATTTTTTTCTAAAACAGCGCTCTTCCTATTGTATATAAAACTATTTCTTTTGTGATCGTGGAAACCGTATAAATTATAATGGTAGATGCTAGAAAAATTTTTGCTTCTTTTTTTTCTCTTTATCGCTTGATCTAAAAATAAATATGTTAAAAATGAATATGTTAAAAATAAAATATAATACATTAGGTTTTCACATCTTCAGTCCAAAGGCCTTTTAGTTAAAGTTCAGTGATGTGAATTTTTTTTTGAAACAGATTATTTCAATTTAAGTAGTAATCAAAAATGAGGAAATAATATTTAAACAATTTTTTTTTCCTTTTCCCGAAACAATTTTTTTTCAAAACTCATGTTTTTTCCTTTTTAATTTCCTGAAAAGAAATTTCTTGAAATTAAAAAGTTACATTACGATGCTACAATACAACACTGCTACATAAGATACTGTTTCTTCTAAATTATTTTATTAATACATAGATTCGAAGTTGGAAAAAGCAGGATAGAAACAAATTTCTAGGAGAACTTGTTCACAAAAATTGCAGTAAAAAAAAATAATAATAATAATTTTGGCGCAAATATTTTCAACACCAATTATTTTACAAACACTTTTCCAAAAAATGTTTCAATACTAAATGTATTTATAAAATGTTTGGTTGCTTATAAAGTATCTTATGTGTTTTTATCTAAAAAAATTACTAAAAACTGACATCTTATTAACAACAACAACAACAAAAAGATATCAGGATGTAACACCTGGTAAATTAAGCTGACAAGAAGCAACGCCTGGTAAAGTAAGTTAACAGGATGCAATACCTGGTAAAGTAAGCTGGTAGAAAGGGACACCTGGTAAAGTAAGTTATTTGAAAATAAAACTTATTACAGTAAGCTATCAAGAAATGAAACCTGATAAAGATAAAGATAAAGAAAAATATGAAAAAAATGGCCTTTTAAAATAACTATATTTCAATAAAACATGATTAGAGAAAACATGTTTTCCCAACTAATTCGATCATAAGTTTACGCTCAATGAATTTGTGTATATGTATGTACAATTATTTTGACTGTAATGAAGCTTAGCCAACTGTGCAGAGGCAAACTTTAAAAAATATTACTTTACAATATAAAAAATTAAAAGTATACCTTGTAGAATTTAAATCAAGCTGATATTGAGCTTCGAATTGCTCTCTTTCTTTTTCTAAGTTGCTACGCCGTTTAATTAGCTCATTACGATTAAGTTCTAAAGTCTCCATTGTTACTTCAAACTTTCGATTGAACTTAAAAGATTATATATATATATATATATATATATATATATATATATATATATATATATATATATATATATATATATATATATATATATATATATATATATATACATATATATATATATATATATATATACACACACATATGTATATATATATATATATATATATATATATATATATATATATATATATATATATATATATATATATATACATATGTATATATATATACATATGTATATATATATATATATATATATATATATATATATATATATATATATATATATATATATATTAACAAAAATAAATATTATATAAACCTCAATTTCATTATCTTTAAGCTTTTTTTTTTTTTCTTTAACTTTCATTTCAAAGACTTGCTCCATTTCTTGCTCCATCTTTTTCAACTTTTTCTCTTGTTCTTCCCTTTCACGTTCAATTTGCTCCATCGGATTAATATTTAATGCTGCGCTATTTACAATAAATAAATACACAAATTACCTTATCGTAATGATATTCAAAATTAAACTAATTGCAAAAAAACAATGAATTCATAATGAACAATACTAAACCTACCTTGTAATCGAGTTGCCTCCACCAGTTAAAACCGAGAGTCTTTCACTCCTAAAGTTCTCATAATGAATATCATTAGTTACATCTATCAAATCCTGCATGTGAGTTCTAAAACAAAATAAAATTATTAGAAGTTTTAATTGCACTTTATGATATTTAAATCCAATTTAAATTACAGTTTGATTTTATATAAGTATATATTTTATATTTTACTGTTTACTCCAACTTTTTGAGAAATCTTTTCTCAAAAAACAGTTCTTTTGAGCAAACAAATTATTTGAAGCGTACAGTTAAAAAAAATATTTAAATAGCTAATAAATTATAAAATATAAATAACATATCCCTAAATGAACGTGACACAAATGCACATATGACTAAAATAAACTGACCCTAAATGCATCCATGACATAAATAAACTGACTCTAAATGTATATATGATAAAAATAACTTTAAATCAATAACGTTAATTTTTTTTTTTTTTTTTCTAATTTTAAAAAATAACTTTATAACTTTTATGTTGATCGTTATTTTAGTACTCTCTCAATCTTATAACTTTGAAGTCAAAAAGTAAAAAGTATTTTTTAAATTAGTTCCATTATGCCATGTTATACCATATCATATAATGAACTAATGAATTATGTCATGTTATAATAAATATAATGATTTATTCCAGTTCTAAATTCCATACACATTCAAAAAAAAATTCTACTGTGTTAAGTTAATTACTTTTGTTAAAAATATTAAATTAAAAAAAGAATATCTAAAATTAAATAAAAATTAGAAGAAATAGGTATCAGCAGTCTTTAACAATTAAAAAAAATTTTTCCATCCTTTTTTTTTTTAAATTTCAATAAAAAAAAAAAATACAAATTAAAATCAAACATATCATAAAATTAAACTTTTTCTTGAACCCATTAATGCATATAAGAAAAAAAAAAGTAGAAAAAACTACTAAATAAGGAGTTATCTATATTTAAAACTAAATACAAAATACATCAATATACAAAAACTACATTTACAAACAAAACTATTATTCTTCAACTGAACAACTGTAAACTGTAAATTTTCAAAATCTCAACTCAACTTAATCTCAAAATCAGTTACTTCATTCCCGATACATTAACTTAAAACCATAACTAAGGGTTCCTTATGTGTCCATGACAATGCATGCCAAAAGTAGTAACATCAACATCTTTCATCCACTATTAATAACCTAGCATTTACAACTGTTGATTGAATCTGCCTCTGTGAGAGCTACCACAGAATTCAGGGAAACAACTAACCGGCCAATGAGTTTTATTTTAACCGGCCAATAAACTGAGTTTTAGAGCTAAATCCTAATTAGAGGATAACAGAGTTGTGTAGCTACAACCAAGGACGCACACACTAAAGACTTTAGTAGAATCAAAATTTGTTTTTCATTTAAGAAAGAAGACAGGAAACAATGTAAAATAGGTTTAAATCTGCACTAGCTTATTAGATGAACAAGGGAATTTATCAGCATACATGATGTAACTCTATTTTACAATCATAAATCACATTAAAATATTTATGGCTATTTTTTTAAAGTTTGCTGAGAAAATCAATAGAAAAATTTAAAAGTTTCATTGAAATATGAGACAAATGTTGAAAGTTTACCAAATTGAATCTTAAGTTAGGTAATGTCTAACTTAAGATTCAATTCTAAATCCTGATATCTTATTTAATTTGATGCCTGAATAGATCCAAATTAGTATAAAAAAAAGTTAAATGGATTTCAATTTAAATTTTTCATTAATTTAATCAATTTGACTTTTGCTTAATTATAATTTCTTAAAAAATTAAGTAATAAAATATTAAAAAATAAGTATTTAAAAATAGTCACTAAATATTTAAAAATCTTACAAATTAGATTATAGCTTACATATATAAAATTTTTCATAAAATAGATTTGTACTGATTTAAATACTTATCTGAGTAAATTAATTTTTTACCAAACACACTCTTCTTAAATCTTAATCACTGCCAAATATCTTTCAGGTTACAGCATACACTGAAACATTTTTTCTGTTGTTTTCACAAGGTGCATACCATTGCTAATGAATTAATTGACAGCATATTTTGATGGTTTGCTTCCTGGTGTGTTAAGTTTTATATCTTAACAAACCAAATGTGCTGCATTTACAGTAATCCTTTTAAATGCACCACTTGTTGATAAAAATTACCAGGTAAAATCTCTTAGCAACAAGTGGTTAACAACACATAACAAACAATTAAGCTAAAAGAACACATGACAACACATTTAGCTAAGTTGTTTGTCATGGTTAAGAACATATTAGAGACAACTCATACCAATAGGTAGTTAGTATAATAATATAATAAGGTAGAATAATAATAATAGTATAATAATATAATAAAGTAGTTGCAATAGATACTATGCAAAAAATAGATACTAATTGATGAAACATCATTAGCTTTTAAGTTACATTATATAAATAAAAAGTCATTAAAATCTGCTACAAATTTATTATATCACTACTAAACTGTTGTGTAAGAACATATATAGAATATATATATAGATATATACAACTGTTTTTTATTAATCTTTTTAAATGTTACTTTCTAGAAAGATTATTATAAAAACTATATTGAATGATACAAAAAAAAATATAATGAAAACTCACCGTATAAGTAAATTTCGCAGAGCAATGAAATCACAATGTTCTATGTTTTCAACTAGAAAAAAAAATTTTTTTTTAATTACCTATTTATGAAATATTCTATTATTTATACCAAAACTTTTCACACTATTAATTAACCTGTAAACTAATATATTTTAAAAACTAAATAAATAAACAACTCTAAATATATAAAATTCAATGTATGTTTCAACTAATTTATATAAAAATATAATCAAATAGGAAAAAGTATGAATAATTTATTTGAACATTCACCTTCTACTATACCCCAAGGATACATTCTTCCCCTAATTTTTTTCCCACCAACCTCCAAAACAGTATTACTGCCAACAACAGCAAATGGTAATCTCTGAATTAAAAAAAATATATATGTTAAATAAATAATTTAATTAATAAAAAACTTAATTATTAAAAAATTATATAATGGCTTACTCTTAATAAAGCAAGATCACTTTCAGATTCATCGTCACTGAGAGCAGGAAATCTATAAACATTGATATGGTGAGCATCAATTTCTTTTAAAATCTAAAAATAAATATAATGATAATTGCATAATAATGATAATGCAAAAAGTCCCAGTGAGCACAAGGTGTATTAAAAACAAATAAAAGACGTAGTAATCTGTATTAATATGTATTGTATTTGTTTTAAACATGTCTCTAAACTTGTGTAGTTTATCGAGCAGTCAAAAAATACAAAAGTTTAATTCATATACATGTGGTTGTGAGAGGGAATGCTTTTATATATATATATATATATATATATATATATATATATATATATATATATATATATATATATATATAAACAAATGGATTTTTAAAAGTGTATAAGTTTGCCTATTATTGAACCTCTGGCTAAAACTTTCTTATGTGAAAATGGTATAACACAAACAGAAACACCTGAATCAAATTTTTAATTCATATTTCATATCTTTAATAAGGTTTTCACATTTTTAATTTTACCATTTAAATACTAGTTAGATACCATTTAAATAAAGATAGATACCAAGACAACTTTTTAAAAATACTAGATATGAAAATAAGATAAAACAAAAGATGTGGACAAAAAGAATAATAAAAATTTTTTATAAATTAAAATAAGAGGGTACAAACCTAATTTCATAACTATTAGTTATGAATTCAGGTTTGTACCCTCTGGGTGTTTCTTGATGTGTAGCATCTTGTTACTCAATCACTTTTTTTTTTTTCCTTTTCTGGACCATCTTTCAATGAGATTTTCAAGAAAGTGCTTTCTGATTAAATTGACCAACTCCTTTCTTTACCACACAACCAATATTATTGTTGTTGGTGACTTTAATGTTATCATATTGAATTGGTTGGCTCTCTTAACTTATTTAGAGGTAGCCTAGTTGAGAGTGAATGTTATTTAGAAAGAAAAAAAAACCATAACCTGTGCCCCATTTTTCCTCATTCAGATAAGGCAGACTATGCTATGATCTTATCAAAACGTTGATCTTATACTTTTTCTACATCAAAATCTATAATTGTACTGACTACTAGCTTGAAGCTGATTGGAATTTTGATTTTCTTTATGTTGCTAGGACTGATGATTTTGTCTATAGTGAAAATTGTGTCTCTGACTTAACCTCACGAATATAGACAGACACAGAAGTTTTATTGCCTTTTTTATGGTTTCAAATCAATTTATATTCTCCTTGTGCAGTTGCTTTTTCTAATTATGATCAATCTCCACAAGAGCAACTTTCTGAAAACCAATATTTTTATCACTTCAAGAAATCTATGAAAAAAATTATCAGAGAACTAAATCTAGTTGTTCAGGATTTCGATTCTAGTGATTTTTAGAAAATCTTTGACTATCATTAAAAAAGACAAATATATATATATATATATATATATATATATATATATATATATATATATATATATATATATATATATATATATATATATATATATATATATGGATTATATAGGACTTTTAGTCCTATATAATCCATATATAACAATTTTTTTTTGTTACTCACCTTCTCAAGGCTAAGAAGGCCGCTACAGATGAGGAGGCTATTTAAAAGTGGTTATAACCCTCTCTCAACTCTATAACTCCAAAACACGAACCAAGCCCGATGCGCGGAGAAACAAGTTGAGCGCAGTACTAGCAGGGACATGGTGGGGATCGAACTCTAACCTCTCGCTTACGAAGCGAGTGTTTTACCACTACACCACTACCGCATTTTTACCACTACACTTACTATATATACCACATATATATGGATTATATGGATTTTTTAATGCAACTTCATAGATTTTTGCTTAAGGTGTAGGGGTCATGCACTATTTATGATTGAGTCTATTAATTCAAAAAACAAAGTAACTGAAAATACGACACACATAAAAAAACAATCACCAAATTGTTTTAAACCACCCTTTACAAATATTCATGGTCTTTGAGGTAAGATTTTTATCTGCGAAAATCGAAACAGTCACCTAAACTTTTGAGAAATTAATCGAAATTTGGCTGTTTTTCCTTTTAGATTTTAGTTTTGATGGTCATTATCTCTTGATTGGTAAAAACTAAAATATTCACATGTTTGGCCTAGACATATACTCACATAACAATTCACTTATTAGTTGTCAAATCAGGTTTGAATTGTACCTTAAAATTGACATCAGAACCTTTCAAATGAAAATTTTAAATTGCTCCACAATACTTTCTAATCATTATTAGTCTAGTCATTATTATACATTATATATATATATATATATATATATATATATATATATATATATATATATATATATATATATATATATATATATGTAATGGTTATATAGTATATAAATGCACACATATACATACCTACAGACACATACATATAAATTGAATTCACCTGCTGCTTAAACCTCTGACATTCATCAGCAGTAAGGGTATCGGCTTTGGCTATTACTGGAACAATATTAACCTAAGAAAACAACTTAATTTTCAATATCTAATTAAATACAAACCCATACACAAAATTAAAGCTGTAATATGACTTTCTTTTAATTAAAAAAAACTAACTTTGTTATGTAATTTCTTCATAAACTCAATATCCAAAGGTTTTAACCTAAAAAATATAAATTACAGCTTATGAGAGGGTGATGAATTGATTTAAGAGTATAATAGCTCTATCATTTTAAGTCAATAGTAAAAGAGCCATCAACTACAGCTACTAAATTGAAAAAAGCCATATTTAATTAAAATGATTTTGAAAACATTTTTTTTTTGCCAATTAAACAAAATTATAATATTCATATTTAGCAGTTAATTATAAAAAAATAAGTAATAAAAACAAAAGAAAAAAAGTTACTAAATTTGGATGACATCCATATCGATAATTTTTTTAATACCCTAATTGCTCTTCTAATTAAAAGCATGATATTTAATGACATAGTTAATGGCAATCTATTAATAGTATAGTAATGACATAATTTTATTCTTATAACCAATTATTAACCAATCCTTGGCAAAAAAAAATTATTATTAATAATCTTGTATTTTGAAAGTTTGCAATATTTGAAGTATTTAATAGCCACAAAAAAAGTTTTGCTTGAAACAAGAAAGGAAATCACAACTTTGTTTAATTTAGGTACATTAAACAACCGTAAAATGGCTGAAAATACAAATGTATCAGAGAAAGGTGTGCACAAAGATTAAAGATTATAGAAACAAAGTTACTGCATTTGAAGCACTGAGGCCTGAGCAAGCAAAAAAACTTTCAAATCAAGATATATGTAGCAGGCTTGGTTGGGAAGCGGGTGCGATCGCACTCGATAATTGACCACGGAAATTATATTTACTTGCGAAAAGCCGGCCAGATTTTTCAGGCGTTTTGAGAACATTTCAGTTTATGTATGTTTCCTTGTTTGTTCGCAAAATAATAAGTTCATTTTATCGTAAATTTATAAGATTTTTTTTTACGGACGTACATGGAAACTTATATAAACTTGAATGTTGTCAAACATCTTAGTGCGGAAAAATAAATAAAGAATATTCGCAAACACAAAAAACCCGCCAAATTTACGAACAACTAATTCTATTAGTTCAATTAATAAATAACTGAAATTACTACGCGACTGTTCTAGAGTATTCTGTTGAATTATTTTTTAAAATCTTTTGTTTTTGTTTTTGTTATTTTTTCGTTGAGAATTCTAGCATCAATTGTTTTAAGAATATACTATCAAACGAACAATTATTTTAATACGATGGCTCATTCTCGGAGTCACATCCATAAAGCTATAAATGTTTTAAACTAACATTTGTTTACAAAAATAAATGTTTTAAATTTATATTTTTTAACTTGTCAACGTTTTGTAAATATATTATAGATTTAATTAGTATAATCTTATTTTTTATATATAAGGGATGTATTTATATGTATGTAATGTATTAGAAATTGGTTTATTAACTTCAATTATTTTTGCTTCAGCCATTCTTACAAACTCGTTATACTTACACTTAAAGTTTTTTTTCTTCTGTAAAATACTAGTTAAAGATATAAACCCCACTCACTAAACGTCATCAGCGATATTGTTAAGCAGTTCCGCTTCCTCCTTACAAAGTAATTTAACGTTTTTAGTTAATTTCTATCTAGCTAATTAAATTTCCACAGTAACTCAATGATTTAGTTATTTCATTTGTTCATCTTACTAAGAAGAATTGTTTCAAATATGTTAAACTTTTCAAACTACGCGAAGCATAAAACAGGTACCGAAAAAACTTTTTTTATTTATAATTAAATTATGTAGCGTTAGTTTTATTGGTTTAATCTTGTTGGACTTTACAGGGCCAGGGGCTGCATTATTTTGGTGGCCTTTTTTATGTGTGACAGCGTAAAAATGACTTAAAAATACCGATAGGTCCTCTTGACTATTTCTCGGCCCACAACATTGTGTGTCCCGGGACTATAGCTCTTCTACCCCCCCCCCACCTCTTATTTCCAGCACTGGAAATAAGACATAAGTATATAAATAAAAATTATATATAATCTTTGATAAATTGAAGAACATTTGTTTCTTTATTAAACAATCATTATTAATACGTTGTTACTATATACAAAAAATGTTGCTTTTTTTTAAAAAAAAATTATAAAAGAGCGACGTTTCAAAAATATTTTGAAACTCTAATTGTATTTATTTTGCTTAAAGTTTTGCGTTAAAAGCTATTTTTCTTTTTTTTAACTGTCTCTCATCGGTCCAGTTTATCTTATTGCGCTTTTTTGCTTGTTTTTGAAATGTTCTCAAAACGCCTAAAAAATCTGGCCGGCTTTTCGCAACTAAATATAATTTCTGTGGTCAAATATCGAGTGCGATCGCACCCGCTTCCCGACCAAGCCTGATGTAGCATTATCGTATACAGCAGGAAATATCTAACTTATTCAATCCAAAACTTGCAATTGAAATTTAAAAACATAAAAAAAAGGCTAGTAGTGGAATGTTGAGAGAATGTTAGAAAGATATTAAAAAATCAAGGAACCGGTTCTTACATAAACATTTGAACCATTTTAAAGTTACAGATCGAATTGCAAGGAGAAAATGGTGGAGAGACTAATGTAGTCTGTCGAAGATTGGAGCCAAAATGATTTGTGCAATGAAAGTAACTTTCAAATATTTATTCATAAATCAAGAATCATATGAAATAGGTTAAAAAGCAAGAAGTATAACGCTTGCTTTTTGCTTTTTATACAGCATATTAACGCCAGTGTTGGTTCAGTAGGTTCAGTAGTGTTGGTTCAGTGTTGGTTTAGTAGGCAATTAGTGATGTATTTCCCTAAAATTTTGCAGGGTCCATAAAAATATACAAATATAAATTAGACTAAATTTTTTAGCAAAAAAGTAAAAAAAAAAAAATTAAAAAAAATTACAAATAAAAAACTCTATAATAAAACTACTTCTTTTATAACGCTTATAACTTATTTACTTAATTTATAATTGTTTGATTAACACTATTATATAAAAATAATTTATATAAGTAACCCCAAGCTTTACTTGAATTATAAATGCATTTAGAAAATAATTTTAAAAAAATCGCTGATTTAATAACGCAATATACAACTATTTAATTTTATTTTAATTTGCATTTTAACTAAAATTTTGAAGACCAAATATTTCTGATTGTTTAATTCAACCTTGCTTAATTTCCATGGTGTGACAGGTCAATGGACTTAAGTCCCAACTTAAAATGATCCATGATCATTTTAAGATGGGACTTAAATGATCGAAAAATGTACAACGTTAAAGTCACAAACAAAACAAACTTTAGGGAGGTTCTTGAAACTCGAAGGAAAAAATTTTAAGGAGGTTCTTGAAACTCAGAGGAACTCGAAACTTAAAAAATATGGAAAATAAACTGCGCATTAATAAAAAATAAATTTTAAAGCCTAGGGTTTTTTAAAAGCTATTTTAAATACTGATAACTATTTTATTACTGTGGATTTGTTTAAATTTAATTAATAAATTAAATTAACCTGGATTTGTTTAAATTTAATTGCTACTCTTTTCTTGTACTATATTTAACTTTTTATTTTATCATTACAAATAAAGAGACAAGAACTAATAAAGTCTTTAAAAAACACAGATGGCTGGTAATAAAGGTAATTAAAATCTTAGTATGTTAAAAATAGAACATTTTCCTTTACCTTTTTCTTGAAAGTATAAAGAAAAAAATGCACATGTGCATTTTATTTTAGACAAGTTGGTCACTGCTGTTTGCAAGTTTTATTATATTAGGAGTTGCAGAAAAAACAAAAAGTTTCAAAAACAAAGAATGCAAATAATAGGAAACTAAAATAGATTTTATATATATATATAATAAAAAAAATTAATAATCATTTAAACTATCAAATAAGAATAATTTTAGGTTGATGGAACTAGATGTTATAATTCCTTTAAGCAGCAACCTCGATCAAACCTTCCCAGGAGACGTGTGCAGTTTAATATCTTGTATGTCCTTGTATGTCCACACATGTGCCTTGTCACACATGTCCTTGTATGTCCACACATGTATCTTGTATGTCCACACATGTGCATTTTATTTTAGACAAGTTGGTCACTGCCGTTTGCAAGTTTTTTTAAATTAGGAGTTGCAGAAAAAACGAAAGTTTCAAAAACAAAAAATGCAAATAATAGGAAACTAAAATAGATTTTATATATAAATAATAAAAAAATAATAACAATTATTTAAACTATTTGTGTATTGTTTTTATTTTTGTTTTTTTAGAGTAACTAAATTCTAAACAAAACTTTATAAGTTTTTTTTAAAATTCAGTTACTTTCAGCAATGAATTTAGATTATACAAAGCATTAAAAAAAAAAAAAAAAGTTCCAAGTCAACATTAAAGAGAATCATTTTCCTATATTTTGTCTTTTTTTAAAAGGAAAGCGGAAATATAAATACCTGTTTGTAAAACATATTTGTATAATTATGACGTAACATACATTTGGATAAAGCCGTTACTTCACACACAGAATTTTTGTGATTTGAATCTCACCTCTGTCATTTATTTTAATTGTTTTTCTTTTAAATACTGCTAGTCATATATTTGCATTGTAACCATTTATCCTTTTTATTGTATGTTTTTATTGTATACCAAATATCTTTTTGTTGTATGTTTTTGAATGATACTCATTTCTTCACATTCAGATTATTTACCATTTAGGTCTTTTAGTGTATTTTTTAAGTAAGGCACATGCACCTTACTTACACATAAATACATATATATATATATATATATATATATATATATATATATATATATATATATATATATATATATATATATACATATATATATATATATATATATATATATATATATATATATATATATATATATATATATATATAAAACTATGTAAATACGTGTGTGCATGCACACACATATATACATAGTTTTTATTCTTCGATTAGGCCATGTCATTTTTCACATAGCCTTAACTGTTTTATATTAACTTTCTGTTCCTGTAAGTTTTTTATCCCCAATCTTTTAGCGCTTTGTAATTTCAGAAACCTGTTGCTTTGTAACATTCAGCTCTGTGCGTTTAGTTCTACCCTCCCCTGTCTTTTTAGTCTATGTTATTGGTGAAAAATTATCAATAATAATTATTATAAATTGTTATACAAATATTAATAATTGTTAATAATTGTTTAGGTATATTTCACCAATAATATAGTAGTCTAAAAGGGAATGGGGCCAGTAGAAAAACAAAAAAAAAATTGGAAAGAGGTAGGATTTGAACCATGGACATTACATATTTGAAGTAAACGCCTTATCCAAAAAAGCTAAACCGGTATACACTTTTGAGCAACAATTACATAATAAAAAAATGTATATATATAAGTATACACATGCATTACATCGACATTTTCATATAGGAACTTTAAAATCTTATTAGGTTCTATTACTTTTAAATCTCTTAGGGACTTGGCAAATTTTAATTGAAAACATCTAAAAAAAAATATAGTGGATAGTCAAACAATACTAAAAACTTCAGAAACTTAAACAAATAAGTACTTAATAAGAAATGATTATTATTTATGTTATGTTAAGAAATGTTTATTATGTTAAGAAATGTTTATTATGTATGTTACTAATGGTCTGTAATAAACCCGCCTTAATTTTAAAATCAACTAATAAAAATTTTTAACTGGTTGATTTTAAAATTTACTCACATTTTTACGAACCATTAATAACATTTTTCAAAATGATAAACTTTATAAAAAGTTAACCATTTTGTATTTCACATTTTCATTCAATTAGGTATTAGCTTAAGTTCCTAAAGTCTTTATAATTATTTGAATATCCACTCTATTTTTTCTAGATGCATTTCTACTTCAATTAAAATTTGGAATTACTTATGTTAATTGAACAAAGAATAAATTAAAAAAGTTATAAGTGTGTTATAAAAGTAATAACAATATTATAGTATATTATAGTTTTATTACATTAATAATGCAGTGATTAGAGTGTAATTACTTTTGTAGTCATAAGTTTATTGTGTTCTTTTGTTTTTATTTTATAACATTTTTTGCAAAAAAATTGAAATTAATTTGCCCCTTGAAAACAAAGTACACGGTCTTACATAAACTAAAAAAAATGCTTGAAGACCAGATATTTTTCCAGTTATTGTAAATGTGATCACTTGTGATCGCTTAGTTCACTCAATTCAAAGTAATTGCTTAATTTAACTCTTGGATATATTGTTTCCGTGAGAAGTCAATAGTGAATCGTAATCCACGGTCAATTTTATCGCAAAATATTGCGATAAAATTGACCTTTATATTTCAATCAAAATTTATGGCAATATTAACTATTAGTTTAGCTTTATTTATTAGATAAATAACAGCCTGAAAAATTCTTACCCATGTCCTGTAGGTGCAATAAAATATAAACAGCAATGGACTCTAGTATCTTGAACAGTTATTCTGTTTACCCTAGATTCAGCATTCAAGTAGTCTTCAAACTTATTTTCAATGTATTGAATAACAGAGTTCCAACTAGAAAAAAAAAATTTGTTCAAGTATTTAATGTTCTGAATAACAGAGTTCTGACAAGAAAGAAATTTTTTTAATATCTATTGTAATTAATAACAAAATTATGACTAAAAAGTATACAGATACACAAATGACAACAAAAATAAGGTCAACCCACTAAAGAAATAAGTTTGGCAACTAAATAACCATAAAATACTTCGACTAAGGGTTCATGTTTGGGCAGGCAGGGTTTATAAGGCCAAAATAGCAGTAATTAAATTTCTTTTTGTTTTCTCCAGTGATTGTTTTTTTTATTTTTTTTTGTTTTTTTATTTAACAAAAAGGTTAACGTAATATTGCATTTTGGACAGCTTTTGACATCCGGTGACTATGGTGCCTGCAAAAGAATATCTAACATTGTTATACTTTGCTTTTTTGAAACAAAAGAACACATTGCATTGAAAGTTTATTTTATGTGTTTGTTTGTTGTTTTTTTGGGGGGAGGGGGTCCTTTTTTTATTATTATTATGTTTACTATGCTTGAAAAACTTAATTTTTGATCATAATATTGGATAAAATAGCACTTAGATTAAAAAATACATAAAAACTTTTATTCATTTTTTTCAAAAAAAAAAACTTCACAGTTAGCAAAAATAATAAAAACTCCACAAGAAAGGGCTTCAACTAATATAAATGTACTAAAATGTCAAATGCTTTCCCTTGAATATAACCTATACATTTTTTTAAAATGAAAACTTAAAAATTTTTTATATTGAAACCAAGTAAACACAATATAAATATAAAACAGATCTTTCATCAAACATTAAAATTATAAAAATAAGATTTCAACAAATAATAAAAGATACTTAGTTCATAGGACTACAGGCCATGCGATAAATCGTCCAAAAGCGATTTTGCGTGTAGCTAGGGCTATTTACGTCAAGCAAAAAATTTTTTGTTTGAGTATATTTAAAGATATTTTTTTTGAGCGGAATTTTAATGAAGTAATTTACGATTATTTTAACATTTAATAAAGTATTTTAAAAACCGCACGCAGTTGATATAAAAGTTTGAATTACAAAAAAATTAAATATGCTCATTATTTACAAGTAAAAAAAGTTCCGATTAAAAAAAAAGTTTAAATCTTTTTAAGCTAACATTTTAATAAAATTATTCAGCAATAGAAAAGTTGTTGATAAAATTGAACAAAAATACTTTCTTTTAGTTTTAGATTTTTAACTTAAATAATTATTTTACGGGGGTTTGTTATGTTTTAGAATTATTCCATAGATTTAAAAATATTGATTAACTGTTTGATGTATTTAAAGTATTTAAGAGTAATTTAGAGGAAACATTTTAAAAATTGGTTAGCGCAAATAAAAATATTTTATTTGCGCAAAGATTTTTATTTTAATATTTTATTTTATTTTAACATTTTATTTTACTAGAAATAAAATTCCTTGTAAACTTTAAAAATCTATTCAAAACGTTCGTTAAAATTTTTTAGTAATACGAGTGATTGTGCTTATTAACCGCTTTATGAAAATAAATAAAAATAAATAAATAAAAAAATATTATATAAAATCGCTGTTAAAAATATTAGCTATTGCACAGTTTTTAATCATACAATATTAAAATTTCTAGTTTATTACTTGCTGACTTTTTAAAAAGAAAAAATAATTATTTGAAAAACTTTAAATTACATATTTGAGAAGAAAAAAAATCAAATATCAGCATTTATAATCTTTTTTAAATGTTTAGTTATAATGTTTTATATTCGTTTAGTATAGACAAAACGTGACCAACGTCGAGAAAATAAACAAATGTTTTTACATTTTAAAAAACGAAACATTCCAAAACATTTTTAAATAATAACATTTCTACATTAATGATTTAAAGTAGTTTTGCAGTAATTAAGTAAATTAATGCAGTTAATGTCGCTAAATATGAAAAGTAAATAAAAAGAATTTAATGACGTCAAAAATCACGTTGTGCTTATGCGTCACGCAGTTTTTATTCATCACAAGGCCTGGGACTACAATATTTAAAGTACAATAAAAATACAAAGTAGAACCTAATGCGCAAGCCATTCATTAATTTAACAAAATTGTCTACATTGTGGAACTCGTATGAAAAAGATACCATGTTAGGACTCATGTAGCCATTATTAGCTGTGGAGCAAATAGATGTTGCATTAGGTTTTATAAATACTTTTTATGAACATTACATTTTTAATTTTTGCAAGGGGTTTAATTCAATATAATCATAAGATGATAATATGGTATTTGTATTTTTATAATAAAAATCATTTATTTTTAAAACACAACAAAATAAATACAATTTAACATATTCCAAAAAAAAAACACCAACCAATCAGTATTATCAATGTTATCACCAAATCCAGGAGTATCAACAACTGTTAGTTGAAGCCGTACACCTCCTTCTCTCAGTTCAAATGTTGAAGCATTTACCTGAAGAAATAATATAACATCAATTTATCAGCAAAATTAAATTAAAACAATTTTTAGGCAAAAATGAAAAGAAAACATGTACAAAAGCACATATAGCTATAAATTTAGAGATTTACAATGGTGCACTTTTTGAAAAAAAAAAAAGGCTTAGGATTTTTGAAAATCTTTTAAAATAACTTTTAAATTCTAAATTACAGGAAGCATAAAAATACATCTTTAACTGCTGTCAAGAATTGTGCAAAAGGCTTTACTTGAAAATAACAATTGAATCTTAAGCTCTAATAACTTTAAAAAAAAAAATTTTTTATCTGTTTGAGCCATGGTCTAAAAAAAACACGATTTTTTTAAAAAAATCAAAAAAATCAGATTTTTTTGATTTAAATCAGATTTTTTTGATTTAAATAAAATATTTTTTGATTAACTTTTAATATAATTTAAAGTAATATGAAATTGGTTGACTGTGTTTTTTTTTGTACATAATGCAGTGGTCAAACAGGTCAAAAGTATACTCAGGATTCTAAAATCATTTCTTTTAACCTTATACCTCCACAAAACTATCCACACTATGCGATTGTATAAAGATTTTCTGGATATTTATTATATTAAGTTTAGATAGTATTAAGTTTTTTCTTAAATATTATTGTTATAATTTAATATTGACTGTTTGTCAAAATTTTTGTCAAAAAAATATTACTCTTAAATGGTTTAAAACTCTAGCTATATTTTTGCAGAAACAAAAATATTTAAAACATACTAAACAAAAACAAAAAAATATGTCTGGAAGATAATCTAACTCAGTGTGGTCCAAATTTGAAAAGCTTGAAACAAAAAGTGGGAAGGGATGTAAAGCAAGATGTAGGATATGCAAAAAAGAACTGCAGGGTCTGGTGGCAAGAATGAAAGTACACTTAAATAAATGTTGTCACGAAAATAATACAGAAGGTGATATAATGTACACTTTATAATAATTAATTATTTTTTAAATTAGTATTATTTAATTCAAAGTATTTTTTTAGAAATTGAATTTCAAACTACTTCTTCCAATATTCAATTTGATGTTACAAAGCAACCCTCAGAATCATCTGTTTTAGCAGAAAAATGTTATTTAAATGTATCAGCAAAAAAATCACGGACTGAAAATATAAATAATAATGGTCCAATAAATAAAAATATAAGTTCTGGATTATTGTCACATGTTGTTAGAACAAGTCAGAGTCAAAAGGCCGTATTTGATGAGCAGATTGCAAGAATGATTTTTGCAACAAATTCATCATTTCAATTAGTTGAACATCCAGAATTCCAAAAACTTATGTTGATGTTGAGGCCAGGCTATAGTGGCCCAACAAGAAAGGACGTAGCTGACAAACTCCTAACAATAGTGTTTGATAAAGAAAAGGGTAACGTTAAAAACGCTCTAAATGGAGAGATTGTAAATATAGCACTGGATGGTTGGTCAAACGTTCATAAGGAGCCTATAATTTGTGTTACAGTTACAACTGAAACAAGTGATGTCTATTTAGCTGACACAATTGACACATCTGGAATCCCGCACACTTCTGAATATCTTGAAGAACTAGCAGTTTCATCAATTAAAAATATAGAGCTTGAATTTGGGTGTCGTGTGGGAAGTATTGTGACTGACAATGCAGCTTATGTATCAAAAATGAGGCATAATATTGAATCTCGATCAGATATTGATGTAGTTACATATGGTTGCTCTGCACATTTAATGAATTTGTTAGCACATGACCTAGAAATTGACAATGTTAAAGATCATATAGTAAATATTGTCAAATATTTTAGGAACCACCATTTTGCTTTGGCAGAATATAGAAAAGCTGGTGGACAAAAACTTGTATTGCCTCAAGATACTCGCTGGAATACCATGTGTGACTGTCTAAAACTGTATATTGCAAATTGGTCAACTCTGCTAAAAATCTGTGAGTCTAATCGGGCCATAATTGACACTACAGTGCAACAAAATGTCTCTAACTTAGTCATTAAGAGATCTGCAGAAGATCTACTTGCTCGCTTAGAACCTATTGCTTTTGCACTTGATAAAGCACAAAGTAACAAATGCAAAATTGCAGATGTAGTGGAAGTATGGAAAAATCTAGAAAACAAACTTTTGTGTAAAAGTGAGAAAGTTATCCAAAATAAATTCAAAAAAAGATACGACAAGGCAGTGACACCATCCCATTTTCTGGCTAATCTTCTTCACCCTCATTACCAAGGTAGAAAATTGAATGAAATTGAAAAAAATACTGCTTTGGAATATGCCAATCTACAATACCCACATATTATTCCTACAGTTATGAAATTTAGAGGAAAGTCATACCCATTCCTGGAATTTGAATTTAGATTAGAGGTTTTAACAGAATTATCGTCTGTTCAGTGGTGGAGATCACACCGCGATAACATTGAAAGTAAAACATTAAATACAATTTTGCAATTGATGACTGCAGTAGCTTCATCTGCAGGAGTTGAACGTGTGTTCTCCTCTTACGGCTTGGTACATTCAAAACTGAGAAATAGATTGGGTACAGAAAAAGCTGCTAAGCTTGTGTTTCTATTCAAGGCAATTAATCAGCAGAAAATTATTCAATTTGATGTTGATGAATAATTTTAATGCTGCACACAGGATAAAATTTTTTTAGTTTTAATTGATAATTATGTTTATTAATTTGTTTTGTGCACTGTAGCATTACCTGTTTTATTTATTTTTATTGTATACTTTGAGTCATTATTTCTATAAATACATAGTTCTGTTACATTTAATTAGTTTTTTTTTTAAATATGACAAAAATAGTTTTTAAATAAATTTTTATTATTCAAAAATCAAACATAAAAGAAACACTTGATTTAAATCATTAGTCATCCAAAAAAATCTTTTGATTTAAATCTTGATTTAAATCACTGATTTAAATCGATGTGATTTAAATCAGCCAACCCTGGTTTAAGCAATCTAATTCAACCTTTTTTAAAACTTATAGCTAAGACATGCACCTTAACAAAAAAAATTGCTGCATGGAGAAATAAATTGAATGCGATAGCAGTATTCTGTAAAGGGAAGATAAATGCTTTAATGAAAATAGAAAAAATGAAAGAAAACAGAAACAGCAATCATGATAAAAAGAGACAATTATATATATATATATATATATATATATATATATATATATATATATATATATATATCAGGAATTAGGAAAAATTAGGTCAGTAAATTTTTAGGGGTCAGCAAAAAAAATTGACACGAAGAGGTTCCATAAAAATAAAAACAAGGTTGGCAATTTTTTGCGCAACATAAACGCTTTACAGTTAGGTTTGCATTACAGAATGCTAACTCTAGTTCCGAAGGCTGATATATACATATATCAGGCTATATATATGTCTGTTACAAGAAACATGTGTATTTGCGCATTGTATATGTCCACACATAAAATAATTTTTTTTGGAAGCTTAAGAACAGCTGTTTGCATATTTTGACAATTTGAGTTTTAACAAAGTCGAACTAAACTTTAAAAAAACACTACCAGAAATTAAAAAAACATTAAAAGAAAAAATAAGTAAAAAAGTTAACTTAAAAAACCAAAAAACTAAAAATCATTTAAAAGCGTCCAAAAATTTTTAGAAAATATCAAAGTTTCAAAACAACGTATTCTAACCATAATTTTAATTATTTACGTTTAAAATACGTTATGTTTAGAAGGTTTATAACTACAAAGAAATGTTTATCAAAAAGAGTAAATTTTTTTATAAAACTTTGTTTCTAAAAGTTTTTTTTTCTTCCAAAGAATAATACGATTTTTAAAAAGATTTGACAATAATTATTTAATGTGTTATTATTTAACTAGCATGTATTTGTTGGAAAAAATACATATTTATATACATTTTAAAAATTATACAAAATACTCTTTGATAATTTTAAGAAAACGTGTTATTATAAACAATTGTTAAAGTAATTTGTCATTATTTAAAAGCGTTTCGCATAATATAAAGCATTTAATTAAAAGTTATTTTGAAATACCAAAGTTATTTATCATTAAAAATACTTGCTTTTTAAATAAAAAATAAGTTATATATAATATTTATACATGATATTTATATATTGAAATGCCTATTATTTCAAACATGCAAATCAAGTTGTCTTTAAAAAATATTTTGAACAGACAGGTGTTTAAAATTTTTGATTGAACAGACAAGGCATCCGACTGCACGCACTTACAGGGTATGATTTATATATATATATATATATATATATATATATGTATATATATATATATATATATAATATATATATATATATATATATATATAATTTTATAATAATAACACTAAATAAATAACACATGTTCTTATATTATTAACGTAACAAACATGTGCTTGACATAATACGACAAATCTACGAACAAGCAAACTTTAGTTAAAAAGAAAATGAATATCACATTTCTATATTTTTGCATATGCAAATGTTGGCATTTGCTTTAAATTTTTAAAAACACACAGACTACTTCAGCAACTTTTTTTCCAAATAATTATGCAATTGATAGTTTTTTTTATTTATTATAAAAAATACATATTTATAATAGAAAAACAATTAGTTGCTAAAATTTAAAAAACATTTTAAAGACTTTAAAAGAAAACATGCTAAAACATGATTATTATATATAAGTAAAATAACTTTTAATTTTAAGTAAAATAACTAAGTACAAAGATAGTAATTATGTTTTAGCATGGTTTTGCAACTACTTTAAAAGAAACTATGCTTAAACATTAGGATTGATTTTTCAATAGCGAGCTTTTTTTTTTTTATTTTTTTTTTTTTTTTTAAAGTGAAATAATGTTTATTTGCATGTTAAAAATACTTTTAAAATGTTTGAAATAAATTTTGAAATGTATACAATCTGATAGAACATATAGAACTATGATTATCATAGTTTTTTTTTTTAATTTTTTTATTGTGCAATTAACAACACCAATAATATCATATTTTATTTATTTATTATTAAATACTTAATATGATATTTTTTTAAAAAGTTTTAAAAAAAAAATGTCAAAGCAACTTATTTTATTTTTAGTTCCTTTTATTTTAATTTTAATTTCTATTTTAATTTCTTTAAGTTTATAAGTTTTTTTATTTGCTAATAAATTTAGCAAACTAAATTTAGAAAAATTTATTCTTTAGTATCAATGGATAACAATTTACAATCGTTAGGGCATTGCATATTAATTATCATTTATTTGCGCACACTTTGAAAATGCATAAAAAATTGTTTTTAAGAAATAAAAATTTATTAAATGCAATAAGCATCATTGATAAATCTAATAACAAACTAACTAGAATAAAAATTATTTAAAAATAAAACTTCCTTATTTTTAAATAATCTTTATTTAATGATCTAATTTAAAAGACATTTGTCTTTTAAATTAAATCATTAAATAAAGATGCAAACATCAACGTTCATTAAAAAAAAAAAAATTATATTTTATATAATATAAAATAATAATTTTATATTAATATTGAAGAAAGTGATCATAAAGTTTAAGTGTGGTTTCTTTTATGTTTTTAGCAATTACATTAAAAGTTTAAATCAAATGAATTCATTATAAATAAAATTTTGCATGCTTTTTTTATTAATTTTCTTGTTTTCCATAAAGTGAAATAATGTTTGTTTGCATGTTAAAAAGACTTTCTAAAGTTTTTTTTTATTGTGCATTTATCATTAATTTGCAAGCACTTTGCAAATGTGTAGTTTATTCAATTTTTATTTTTTAAAAAAAATTTTTGAAAAATAAAAATTTTTTGAAATTTATTTGACATAAATTGTAATTATGGAATCAATTAAATTAAAAATCGCATTTAAACTTGCTGGTTTTTTTTTAAACGCATTTTTTAAATGTGCTAATTATCAGAACTTTAAAAAACCGTGGTCAAATTGTTAAAACAAAAACTATATGCGTGGTCATAAGGCGTGCGATCGCACCCCTCTAATGAGAAAGCCTGAATAATATAACCAAATTTAAACCTTGCCGTTACCCTAACCCTAACCTGACCTTGATGCCTAGCCAAACCAAACCCTCAGTCAATGTAGCAGCACTTCCTTGTGAGTCAGGCTATTTGTCAGTCAATGTATGTACTTTTAATTCTTTATAAAAGTTTTTTACAGGTACATTTTTTTACAAAAAAAATCATGCTTACGGGAACAAAAAATTAACGGGTACACTAAAATGTCCCTGATAATGCTAATGTCCCCGTAAGTGTTTGTTTTTTTGTAAAATCTGTCCCCGTAATTGCTAAACAATACAAATATACATATATATATATATATATATATATATATATATATATATATATATATATATATATATATATATATATATATATATCTGGTTTCCATAGAAACCAGAAATGAAAAACTTATCTAAGGAGACATAAAGTAGAGAAAGTAGAGAACTTATCTATGGAGACATAAAGTAGAGAAAGACAAAAACTATTAAAAATTATTATCAGAAAACAAATGTGTTTTGATTGGGTTAAAAGTTACTGGTAGCATCAAGTTGTCACCAAAGAGATTCTACTTTTTATTAAAACCGAGTATACAGTTGTGTCATCAAAACTTTAGAGAATATATAATCAGGTAAAATATCAATATAAATAAGAAACAACGCAGATCAAAAACCCCCATGGTATCCACAAAAAAAACTTTTTAAGAAATGGAGCCTTAATAAAATGAAGATATTATTTTCAAGCAGGCAGGAAAATAAGATTCAGTTAAATATTGTTAAGAAGAGTTAACGTAAGAAAATTTTAACAACAGAAGGGGTGATTAGGATTAACTAAATAAACTTTTATCGAGACAAAAATATATTTCACTTTTTTCTCATTTGGTCTAGTAACAATCAAACTGCATGCTGAATAAACAGAGACAGCAAAAACCACTCAAGAGTGATTTTTTACTGTCTTTGTCTATTCAAAATACAACTGTGTTCCTTTTAGTAAGCTTTCATATTCCCCCTGAATTTGATGAGATGAGATTTGAAAATATGAACTTTGATTCACATTCTGCATTTTGTAACGCACACTCAGGGCTCAATTTAAAAGTCAGACATCAGACATTATCCAGCTAAAATCTCAGATTGTCCGATTAATTTGTATATTGATCATTTTGACAGACGGGAATTAAATTCTACAAAATAAAGTTTTGAAAGGAAAGGCATGCGATCGAACGCTATTGCTGACCATGCAAATGATTTTTTGTTTATAACTATTGACCACGACTGTTTAGATGTTTTTGATTAAAATTTTCAGAAATGCGCTTATAAAAGAAAGGTCAAGCTAAACCAGAAAAAAACTTAAAAAAATTAGCTTTAAAATAAAACTAAAAAAATTCAAAGTTAAAAATTTTTTTTGTTACATTTTTAATTGCATTTGAAAAAAATTAGTCTAACTAATCTTTTAAAACTTATCTTTTAAAATGTTTAATTAAAGTTACCCAAAACACTTTTACAATTTACTTTTTTAGATTGATGATAATGATATATAAATGAACAAATTTTATTTAATTATTGAAAAGTGAATTTAAATTATTAAAAAGAAAAAAATATAATATTTTAAAGTTGTATAATTGTTTTTTTCAAAAAAGTTGCAAAAAAATATTGTTTAAAAAAACTAACCCAGTCTTTTTAAAATCACAATTTTTAATCGTTTCATGCTTTAATTAGTAAGTCAAGTTAAAAAATCTTTTACAAAATTCATTGTAAAAATAGAAACAAACAAAAAAAAAAGATAAAGCAAATAAATCACGGGAAGATTTAATTTAACTTATTCATAATTAAAAGTAACTTAAAAACTAATCTTTTAAAAGATTATAAGATATAGAAAAAAAGTTTCAAAGGTTTAAATTTTTTTTATAAAAAATTGAAAACTTTGAAATTTGATGACAACTGTTTAAATTTTTTTTATAAAAAATTTAAACAGTCGTCATCAAATTGTAAAGAAAAAAAAGGTGTCATCAGTTACAGCATGAAAATTTAAATCTAAAAAAATATACAATATTAAATTGAAACTATTTTATTAATAAAACAACAACGATGCGAGGAAATACTCTAAATAATAAGGAAAGAAACTGCAACTTCACTAGACTAACAATAATCAAACTGAAAAACATGACAAAGATTTCGATAGCACAACTATGGTTTTGTAAAACTGAAAAAATTCTATTTTAAAAATTTGATCGGACACTGTCCAACCCAAACAAGTCTTGATCAAACATATTGTCCAGGACTTTTGAAAAAATTGCACACTTCTGTCCTAGGAGTAAAAGAATCAAGGAGATTTTGTAATACTGCCTTGAAGGTCATGTGGAATGATACCATTTTAAAGTCTCTGATACTCTATGGTCAGCATACTTCAAGACACTAAGCAACATCTTGACACTTCCTTGTTTCCGTACTTGCTTAAGTGTGAAAACTTGTTGATCTTTTCAAATAACTTTAGCAGTTCAGAAATATTTTAGAACTAATTCTCAGTATTCAATACAAATTAAAAAATTTCTCACACAACCATTCAAAATACATTGTTCTAGTCACAGAAAACACATAACCATTTAAAATACATTGTTCTAGTCACAGAAGCAAAGTTTTTGTGAAACATTAGTTATTTTTTTATTTGTTTTAGTAAAACAAAATTTCAACCTAAGAACAAAACAAAAACAAAAATATGTTACATAGTGCAATCATTTAATAATAGTGTTATGCAACATATAGACTTATAGATATAGATGCATAATATATAGATGCAAAATATATAGACTTTCCATAACTGTGATAAAGAACCAAAATTTTCAGTTATTGAAACAATACATTATAAACTTTATAATCATAAAATCAAAAATAATCTTACTGCCATTGTTTTTCCAAACTTTGATGCTGCATCTTCATATTGTGAAGGGCAGTAAATATCAGTCAGAAACAGCGAGTTTATTAATGTCGATTTACCTAGACCACTTTCCCCTAAATCAAAAATTTTCAAAAATTAATATTATTTTATCAAAAAGCATTAATGTATGAGCTGAAGCCACTTTTAACTATTTCAGTATGATATATGTTTTATGCATAACTAAACTTCCATTTATTGATATATACAGGCCTTGTTTTAAATTACCTTAACCCGATATTTGATGTCATAAAATTATCTTTATTTTTTATAGACATTAAGTGTTTTAACTACCGTAATAAATAAATAATCGCTAACTAGTTCAATTTAACAAATAACTCAAGTAACTATAAACGTTTTAAATGTAAATATATTATGAAAGTTTTATGTTTTCAATTGTTATTCTAATATTAATTTTAGTTCAATAGTATTTAGTAAAATATATAAATATTTTTTAAATACTTCTGAAATTTGTTTTTGAATAATTGTTTATAAATCGTTATTGCATAAAAAAAAAATAATGATTTTTTATTTTTTAAAATTTCAGGAGTAAACAAAAAATATATTAACATTTTGATAAACAAAAACCCTTGTTAATTATTTACTAACAGCAATTTTTTTGACTAGAAAAGAATAATTTAGATTTTTGAGTATTTTTCAAATTTATGTTGCTTAGCATTTTAATTTGCATTGTATAAAAATATAAAAAAGTTTCAAGTCTTGAGCATATTTTTGATAAGTAGTTTAGAATTTAATTTATAAATTTTTTACGTTATCATAAAAATGTTTTACATTTTGAACAAATCACAAAGAAACACAGCTGTAGAGAAATATTTTATTTTGATGAAGATCACATAACTTACAGTTGATTTTAATAACGTAAGATTTTTTTTTTTCTGTGACAATTTGGAGAGAATAGAAATATACTAGGTTTTTATATACTAGTTTGTCTTATTTTACATAGAAAAATACATAGTCATTTGTAAACAATAGAGACTGTCAAACTAATATGTCCCTTAGTATTTATTTAACAGAGTATATAATGTGCACGTGTATTATGAAATCTTCGTTATATAAATATATTCAACGTAATATCAGTGTCATAAGCGGATGTTATAGTCTACTCATGATTTCTTTACCTTTTAATATAACTTGATTTATGAAAAAAAACTTATTGAATCGCATGCAGAAGAAATTTAACATATTGACCTCATTCAAAAATTACAAGTAACAAATAATTTTTTTTTTTTCTGTGCTGGTTCCCTCCCCCCGCATAACTTAAAAGTAAAGGTATCTATAACTAATAAGAAAAGCAAAGAGTAATAATCAATGAAAAAGTAATTTTTAGTACAATACAAATAGATTGTTCATTCATTGGCACATTTTTTTTAATATCTCGAAAAAATGTCTTGATATTTATGTTATCATGATAATAAAAATATAAGGACATTTTTTTGAGATCTTGAAAAAAATGTCAAAAACTACAAATTAACTACAAATTTTTTGCAAATGTTTTTAATAAAAATTCAGTAAAAAACTCTAAAAAATAAAATTTGGAATATAGATTTTGTAAGTTTTTTACTGAAAACTTTAAAAAAAATTACTACTTTTTATTAAAAACATTTTCAAAAAATTTGTAGTTAAGGATTGGCGAACAATTTTTCATGTTGCTAAATATTTAGATAAAAAGTTTAACATAAAATTAATTGCTATAAAAAGGTAAGCTACATTGCGATGAAAAGTTACTACAATTATTTTTAATGTAACTTCTTTTTTGTAACAAATATTTTTACATATCTTTATTCAAAAGTTAATGTGGTTTTTTTAAAAATTAATTACTTTTATGTTACCGTTAATTTAAAAGTTAAAAAATGATAAAAAGTTGCTAAACCGAAACTGCTCTACCCATATGTAAAAAATCGCTTAAGATGTACGTAAATTGCTCTAGACGTAACGCTTTAAAACAAGACCTGTATTACCTCAGCCTAAGTTTCCAAAAATACCTGAAGAAATGTTACGCAACTGTCTTAAATATTAAAGTAAAAATATTAAAGTAAATAAGTAATAAGTAAAAATAATAAATAGTACTAAAGTATTGTAAATTAAAAATTACCCACAAGGCAAGAAAATCTAAACTGCATACTTTTTAGCGAACCAAGACAATTTAATGAGCACAACAGTCATAATACTTGAAACACTTGCTCATCAGTTTTATTAAATTAAATATAATGGTATTTGATATATTTTATTTCAATTAAACAGTTTTCTTTTAAATTAATAATTTAACAAGCAATAGATTTATGGTTCGCAAAAAAGTTGGAATTTTACCAACTACCAGAGCCCTAAGGTTCTATCCTTGACCCTATACTCTTTTTAATTTATATTGATGATCTTACAGATATTCTCACATCTAAAGTGGCATTATTCGCTGATGATACTAACATTTATTCTTGTCTTGATAAAAAGCCAACACTCTCTGATAGCTTGGAGGGGGCATTTGAGCTTGAAGAGGATCTCATTTCTGCTACAGCATGGGGCTCACAACTCTTTATTTTGAACTTTAACTCAGATTAAACCTAATTTTTTTCAGCTAATTATTATCACAATAATCTAGATCATAGATTTAATGACTGGTAATGCACTAAATGAGACACCTACCCTTCATCTTCTAGGATTTACTATTACTTAAGATCTTTCTTGGAAAACATATTTCAAATCGATTGCAAAATTAGCATCTGCTAAGGTTGCATCTCTTTATCGTACCAGCCACTTTTTTAATCTTTATTTATATTTTAATATTCAGTTTATTATTTATCTCTTTAAATCTCAAATCCATCTTTGTATGGAATACTGTTGCCATATCTTCCATTTATGCCTTTTCTCTTTAAGACATGGTGCAAAAACGCACTATAAGCATAGTTGGACCTGCTTTAGCAGCCAACCTCCAAATATTATCACATCGTCATGTTGCTTCTCTTTCTCTTTTCTATAAATATCGTAATGGGTACTGCTTCAAAGAGCTAGCGCCTTATTTGCCATCGACAAAAAGTCACTTGTGTTACTTGTCATTCTATTAAGTCTCATCCTTTTACTGTGACTATTCCTTAGTGCTCTAAAAAACTCTTATTGTCCAGGTATATATATATATATATATATATATATATATATATATATATATATATATATATATATATATATATATATATATATATGTATATATATATATATATATATATATATATATATATATATATATATATATATATATATATATATATGTATATATATATATATGTATATATATATATATATATATATATATAAATATATATATATATATATGTATATATATATATATGTATATATACATATATGTATATATATATATATATATATATATATATATATATATATATATATATATATATATATATATATACATATACATATATCATGCCTTGTTAAGAAGCGTTCCCCTCTTTGAATTTTACATAAATATTCACGATTTCACTTACGCGTTTAGCAATTTAAGTTACGCAAAAATTTTTATTAGATAAAAGAAAAGATTTTTTCTATTTTCCGTTTTTTACAAAAATTTATTTTTAATTTATCTTATAAAATTTAAATTAATTTTATTATTATTCATAGTTTTAATAATTTATTTGATTAAATTTAAATAAAATTCTTTTAAAAATCAAAATGCTCTGTTTTACAGTTTTTTTGCTGATAAAATTTCTAAAATTTGTGTTAAAGTAAAAAAAAATTATAAACTCATAAAAAATTTATAAATATAAGATTTATAAAATTTCAAAATTATACTGATATTTGTTAAAAACAAGTTCTAGTAATAACAAGTGTCCCCTCATTTAAAAGAAATAACCATAAAAATAGTTTTTTAAAGAAAAAAAATTAAGTTTAAATAAGTATAAGATTTTAAAATAAGGAAACTTTTTTTTAATCAACATCAGGGTTAGGGTTAAATTTAATTTATAACTTTTTTAATCACAATATTGTTTAGTTTAAAGATATAATTTTAAATTTAAATTTTTAAACATTTTAAAGAATTTAAAATTTTTTAAACATTTAAGACTTACAATAATTTCTGATGTGTTTTTGAATTTAATTACAATGAGGTATTTTAAAATATGTACCTGACACAATTAAACTTTCAACAATGTAAATATCTTTATTTAATAAAGTACATATATTCACATTGCGCTTTTCGGTTACGCAACAAAATCTCATAACAAGACCTGTATATATATATATATATATATATATATATATATATATATATATATATATATATATATATATATAATATATATATATATATATATATATATATATATATATATATATATATATATATATATATATGTTGTAAAACATTTATTGCACACATGTTTTGCACATACTATCATAAATATAAGATAATAAGAGTTTTATTTAATCAATATAATTATTATAAATTTAAAAATCAAGTCCTATAAAAAATACTTTAAGTATAAAGAAACATATAGATCTTGTTAAGTTCTTTTTATAATTTACAACAAATCGAAATTTGAATAATTTTAATATACAAACATAATTTTTTTAAAAATTAAATTTTGTTATTGCAATTTGTTAAAAACACTATTTTATTATTTATTTTAAATATAAAGCTTTTATGTGTATAAAACACTGGAATGCTTAAATTAGTTTTATTAAAAAGTGTTTGATTTTCTAATAACTGTAAACAACAGTACAAAGTTTATTTTTTTAGTTTATGCATATGCTTTACAGTGAGTCCTATTTGCTGTTGTTTAATTTTGTGTTTATTTAGTCAGGTGCTCAAACTATTGCACCACAGTTTCGGTATAAAACAGAACATCCTAACTGACAATAATTATTTGACTAAATAGTTATAATATAATCTATGGTTATTAAAAAATGGTTAATGGTTAACTGCACATACTATATATATAATCCTAGAGGTTATTTGCATTCAAGATTGATTTGTAACTGATACTAATCCATTAAACAAGTTAATTTGAAATTGAATTGCTTAATAAAACTCTTCCAGCGCTGTTTAAAATAATAAAATATAAATATAATACAAAAATTCAAATATAATTAGAACAAAAACTCACCCACAACCATCAAAGTAAACTGGAATCCTTTCTTGACACTTTTACGAAAGACTTGATTAGGCAAATTTGCAAACCCGACATAGTTTTCAAGTCCTTTTTTGCCAACTGGCTAAAGAAAAAAGTTTTTTGTTTTTTCTTTGAACTATAAATTAGCTTAATTTTTTTTAAACACCTCCATTTTTAGTTTGTCAAAGTAAATGTTAGTAAATATCATTGATATTTACTAACATTTACTCAGACAGTGTTTAGTTAATTTAGTTAAAAAATGTAGTTAAATAAAAAATATGTATATAAAAATTAGCAGTTACCACTTCATGATTGCTCAAGTCATTCAGAATTCATAGTTTTATATAAAATTCAGTCATTGAATTCACAGTTTTATATAAAATGATATATAGTTTATGTTTACTTTTTTTTTTTTTTTTTATTGTACTATTTGGTTTAACATTCTATCTGATGATAACTTGATTTGGTAATTATTTAACTTTATTACAATGAAGTTTAAATTGAAAGATTTTGTTTGGGGATTAATGGATAAATATTTTTTATTGAATACTAGTTATTGAACTTAATGATAATAACAGAATTTAAAGATTTAAAATTGAAGACCAGAAATACTTCCAGGTATCACAACTAACAATCACTTAATTCAGCTTTTGAAGTGTGAAAAAAATATTAGAACAGTGCAAACCTAAACCCACACTTATACACAAAACAACATAAAACATCGACTAGTCTCCATCCAAATTATTATGTTAAAAATAGAAATCAATAATGTAACAAATTATTAGAAATAAAGCTATATAAATAAATAATACAAGTATTAGCAACTTAAACCAATATAAAAAATAATTATAATTTGATGATTTGTACCTTGCCGCCACTCTAATATAAAAATATCATGTCACCAATGTAATTAATTATTCCAGAATTGTATGACTTATACATGTTTCCATAATGCCTTTTTCTTATTAAAAAATTCAAATTATAACATCAAAGAAAAGTAATTTATAGAAATACCATAAAATATTTGACTAATATTTGATATTTGGCCTATTCTGCAACTTTTTTAATTATTCAGTATTTAGCTGAATATTGCTATTTCTCCAAATACCAAATTCTTTTAAAAAAGCATTAAAAATGTAATTTAAAAAAGTTTTTTATTGCAATTTAAAATAAAATCTTTTTATATTTTTAGCAAGCACTTTTTTATGCGCTTGCTAAAGTTTTTGCAGACGTGTAGGCGAGTGCAAAAAGACTTGAGTGCAAAAGCGCTGGTTAACGGGAGAAGACTGTTTTACCATCCAAAATTCCCAAGCTTTTCTTAGCCTAACTCATTACAGCCTTTAGAATCCAAAGAATTTCAGTTCAATCTAACAGCAGTTATTAGCAGACAATAGGATACAACACACTGTAGGATGTATGTATGCTGTATCCTATCTCAGATCAAAAGGATAAAACATAGATTCATAACAGTATGTATGTATGTATCTGTGTATAAATTTATTTGTGTATGTGTTAAGGCATTTAATTTGTATAGCCATATATTATACATTATATAAGTATAAACATAGAGCTATTTAAAGCATGTAAAATCAGTTTCGACTTTTTTCGTCACAAATGGTCATTAATAGAAAAGTTACATTTTCGAACAATTGTTGTACCTTTTGTGACATTTTAATTTGGGTGCTTGTTGAAAATGAGTACTTAATTTTCTTGTGTTTGTTTATGTTATTTTATTTTAAACTAAAAAAGGTAAATGTTTTTTGTAAGAAAAAATCTTTAGTTTTAAAGTACTTAACAATGTGTACATGAAGAGGCATGCATGATATATGAGATAAAATTCCATTATTAAATCAAAATATTTAAATTTTCACAAAACTGCCACACATACTTGTTTTAACATAAGAAAAATGCATGATACCAGAGGATAAGTTATGAATTACAACAAATAAAGAACTAAAATCTAATCAACAATATACCTCATAAATTCACATAACAGACTTAAAGAAAATAAAAACTTGTTTAACTTGGAAGAAATAAAGATAAGTTAATTTATAATTTTCAATATTCAAAGTAGCAAATACTTAAAAGAACTACAGTAAAAACTTTTAATTAAATATTAAATTAAAGTTAGTAAGATCAAAATTACTAAAAAAAAAAATTCAAGTCTTAAAAAATTTAACGATGTATATTTATAATTATAAGAATTGTAAATGTAAATACTTAAACATAAGTATAAGAATTTTCTTGAACTAAATAGTAATTAACGTATGAAATTTTATAACATTCATCATTTTTATTTTTCATTTAAACATATTCTATACGGTAGGGAGGTAAACTTATTTGCAATTTCTAATATTTGCAAAGCTAAACAGGATGTTAAATCTTCAAAAAAAATGTACACGTTTACCGGCAAATTTCCTTCTTCAACCATATAAACAGCTTTAGAATAACTTATTATTTATAAAAAGTTGTTATAGATTTAAACTAAAAAGAATTTTTTCTACAAAACAGTTATTTGTATTTGTTTACAAAGCTTGTTGCATCTTCATTCTTAACTCTGACATTTTGTCAATAGTAATTGCGCAGAATCGCAAATTTGCGCAAAATCCTGCTGTTAAACCTAACAAAAAGCCATTAAAAGATAAGCTTTCAATAAATATTTATTTAACAAATGATTTAATTGATTGCTTAATTGAGTTTAACCTTGTTATTAGGAAAACAATTGTTTTAAAATAAATAATGACCACTATTTCAAATTATTTCCACAATTAAAATACCAAAAAACTTTATTTGCAAGTAAAACGAATAAAATAAGATTTTAAAATACAATTATAGTAGTTGCGAAAGCGTTTACTGCTCACAAATATTTTTTTAAATACTTAAAAAGAGAAAAAATTAAAATTGTTTTGTATTAAGAATGCCATTAAAATGTTGTAATTTTTTAGTTCAGATGCTTTTAAAGTATGTATATTTAAATTTAGGCTTTAATTGGACCAGCGTTTGACCAAAGTCAAAACATTTAATCAACATTGCAACATTTATTAAACGTATGTTTGACACCTAAGAAGTTACATAAACTTTACTTCTGCTAAAAAACCTTCATTTTTACAAAAAGTAACCTTAGTGAAATAAACATCAGACTTATTATCATTATTTGACATTTGGCGTTTTTGAAACAAAGAGGTTCAACTCAGTGCTAGAGAGAGTGCTGTCATGTTTGACCATACGTCGATATGTTAAGTCTCAAATTAATATATTTTGGGCTAATTAACTGCTTAATAAACTATGCAAATATATCATTGGCATGTACGCAAACAACAAAACTTCGAAAATTTTGTAGGCTACAAAATACGCTTGCCGAATCTTATACTCTAAACATAAAAGAGAACATAAAAATTTTTTTTATGAAAGATAAGAAAATGATGGATATATTTGAAATAAATATCTATCAGCATCTAATTTTTATGTATATATACTAGAAATATTATTTGCCAGCAAACCAAAACAATAAGCTTGAAATAAATCTAAAATCAAATATATAATCAGTGGCGGAACTTCAAAATTTGGGCCCCCCCCCCTCCGCAAAAGAATGTTTTTTTTGCGGAAAAGAGTTTTATAGTATAAATATTATTGAGTATAACTTTTTTTATATGAGGGCGCCCTATAGTTGGTAGACCCCCCCCCCCCCCGCAACGCAGGGTCCTGCGTCCAGTAGTTCCGCCACTGTATATAATCTAAGATCAAATGGAATTAATAACTATAAGTTGCCTCGGAAATGTAATAAACTCTCAGAATTTTGTATATTTTTGCGAGGACTTAAATTATGGAATGACTGTCAAAAGGAATTTAAATACATGGCGAAGTCATTAAATTCATTTAAGTGTCTAACAAAAAAAAAATAAACTTTTAAAATTTGATCATAAGAAAAGTTTTCTTTCTTTTTTTATCTTATTTTTGTTTTGACTATTTTAACGGTGACTTAGTTTTTTATATTATTATTATTAGTTTTAATACGAGTTTTTTACCATTAAGATATATTATTTAAACTTGTACATAAGGTCTCTAAGAAAAGATTGTAAAAACGTAATGTTTTCCTAGGTTCTTTGAACCTCTTTCGACTTCATTTTGTTGCAGTTGTAAGTTTTATAGATAAAATAAAATACTTTTGTATTTTTATTTTATCTATATGCATACGTACCTTGTAAATTTTTAAACTTTCATTCTATGTTAAACAGAAAGAAAAAAAAATTCATTGTCTGGAAGACTATGAGGCAAGCAAACATTTTTTAAATTTACTCTTGAACAACCGCAACATTGGAAAAGAGCCACCATTGAAACAAAGTGTAGGGCTCAAATTTTTTAATCACTTATACTTATTTACAATGGATAGAAATTGAGGACGTTTTATCTCAAGAGGAGGTTTAAACTTTAAACTTACCGTACTAAAACTGCTATCTACAATAGATGATCCTTCCGACCCATCGTCGTACAAAGCCTCGTCATTTGAAGCGTTAATACCGGAGTCAGTTGGCGACAGTGGCGAAACACTCTAGACAAAAAAATGTTTCTGATAATTATACGTTTAACACATTATGCTCTACTTAGGTTCGCGATGGTATTTAAAATTGATGTTATGTATGCTATTGTATATATTATAAATTAGGATATCTTGTTTTATTATGAATATTATATTTTAGGATATTTACATTATAAATTATGCATATCTTCTTACAATTTGTAGACACCGGTGTCAATTAAAAGAATCTTTACAAAAATATATTTTACACATTCATTATAAACCTTTGTTACTATAAAAACTTTTGTAAAAGTATGAATCTTTGCTTCATTTTCTTTATAGATCGTACGATTTCCTTGTCGTTTGTAATGTAAAAATACTTATCGGAGATAAATAATAGCTGTTTTATTTTTTATTTATTAATAAAAGATAAAAATAGTAATAACTTATAAAAACACATTTAAGCAATCCTAAATTTTTTTCCTTCAAACACCAAAAAAACCTTATCACTATCAGGGCTGGCGCGAGTAGGTGTCACGTGGGGGGGGGGGATGTTATTACAACTTTTGCCGATTAAAAAAAAAAAAAAAGTCCTCGTTTTTTAAAATTTGCCGACTGCCATAACGACATTTTCCGACTGACTGTCCAAATTTGCCGACTATCTTGTCGAAAGGGTCTACATTTGCCTACTAACTATTCAGAAAGGATCAAATTTGCCGACTAAATGAACAAAAAAATCAAAAATGGGGGGAGGGGGACACACCTCCCCACACACACACCCTACCTTCGCGCCGGCCTTTGTCACTATATTACTGTCTACTCTTTATAAACAGAAATCTAAAAGTCATGTCTTACGATTATTCTATTTCTTGTTCTTGTTGTTGTTGTTTAGGTTTTTGCTTTTTTACTAAAAAACTGATGCTCATTATTTTTTAGATTTATGTACGCATACCTGTGGTTTCAGGGCCGACGACATGGTTTGTGGTAGTAGTGGGTCACAATTGTCAATTTCTAAAAGAAGTTTCTCCGTATCCTAAAATTTCTATTAAAAAAAAAATATATGCCTTTTAAAAAAAGATTAGGGGAAGGAGGAATCCTGGCGTCAACCATGGGTTTGAAAAATCTGTGTTAATGTTGATATGATAATTATATTTTTTATAAATTTATAAGTTTAATAAGTTTATAAAATACGAATAAAGTAAATATGGCGATTCGAACTGATATGATGTATAGTGCCGCAAAAGTTTTTAATTGTTCAAAAACTTTTTTAAACTTTTTATAAATTTAAAGTTATATATTTTAAAATGTATAACTTTTAAATATTTTGAGATTTTCAGCTTTTATTTAAGCAGCCCACTTAATTAGGGTCGGCATTCGGCAATGCCGACCAAAATGCCAACCTTAAAGTGTTTGAGGTAGGCAAAAACTGCCGACCTCGTTTCTATGTTTAATGGTAAGACCTTTGAATCGAGTTTTGTTTTGCTGACCTGATGCCAACTTCTAAAGTTGGCAAATTATTGCTGACCTCATTTTTTCATAATTCCGAGGGTCGCTTAAGTCTCGCAAGATTGAAAACATTGATTTCATTTATAACTTGAATGGTTCCTTTTACATATTAAATCAAATTAAATGTTATAAAAAAATGAATGAAACGTTAAGCAGATATTATAAATTAATTTTTACTAGGAGACACATATTGATTAAACAATTAAATGCATTAATGGACGCACTAAAGCAGTAAAACTAGTTTGGAATTCATCATGCGAACAAAGAATCGTGAAAGGCACAAAATTTCATACACAAAAAAAAACAACAACATTAGATTTAATAGATGAGTCCACACCATGACAAAAGTATCCTTTAGTAGGTGATTCCACACTATGACAAAAAATATCCTTTAAAACAGTTTAGCATTTTTTGAATCAATAATTTGGGTTTATTTGATGTACTAACATTAACTTAAGCATCACAAGAGTATTGCTGCAGATGACTTATTTATAATGGTCATCTCAAAACTAATAAAAAACGTTCTACTAAAACATTTCAAAAAGAATGCTACTCGGTGAGAACCTGACTTTAAAACAAAGTCAACATGACGTTGTGCGCCAACAGACTTTAAACAATGACACATAATTTATAATGATCCTGTTTTTTTTAGCTACTTGATTTAAAGCTCCCATCTGTTCTGCAACAACTTGAAACTTTACGCTACTTTTGAACTATGGCATTAGAGTACTATATACTATGGCAACAGTGCAGTACGCGATTAAGTGAAATAGATGTGATAAGATTCACATTTATTTCACTTCGTATGATACAGCGTATGTACGTGGTATCGTAAAATAAGCGAAATAGACTTTAATCTTCTTTATAATAGAACTTTTTTTTAATTTATTTTACATTTTAGGTTACTTAACTATTTTTTTTACAGAATAATGACAGTGATAAGTAGATCGACTTTAATTAGGGTTTCTACAGTTAATTATGCTAGCTTACAGTTAATTATGCTAGCTTACAGTTAATTATGCTAGCTTACAGTTAATTATGCTAGCTTACAGTTAATTATGCTAGCTTACAGTTAATTATGCTAGCTTACAGTTTAAGATCTTAACTTGCAGTTTAAAATGCTTTATTGTTACACATTAAAGCAGACTATAAACACATCAACGTAAAAACTTGCAAGCTTGTTTTTAAATAAACTTCTCCAGCAACAATAGTCATTAGTACGTCTTCACTAGTAGACACAAACGATGAGTATCGTGGTTCCTCCAACAGCGTAAACCTTATGTACATTAGAGAGCACAAACTGCGGCATATTTTCAACCATATTCTATATTAAAACGAGCATCGATTGTCTCTTATTTTACACGTCAAATGTTTAACTGTCAAATGTATAATTAAAAAGTCAAATTTAAACATCAAACTAACGTTTGACGTTTAAATTTGACGGTAAGTTAGTGGGCAAAATTTTTTTTTTGGCCTTTGACGGCAAATAACAGACTCGGCACTCCCTCCTTTAATATCTCTTCGGGACGGCCCTGCTTCTAACTGGGTCTCTTAGTTATAATATAATGATGTCATTTTGATCCGTAATGTGTTGTTGTGTAAACTTTTAATTAGCTTTTGTTTGAAATTTTACTATTGAGTTTTATAAAAAGAATTAACATAAAGCCCTGAATACGGATGCTTTTGAAGCCTTACATAATGTATGCAGTTGCCAAAAAAAACCACTGAAAGTTTTTTAAAAAACTGTCTGAAAGTCATTTTGCTTACAGAGCAACTTGTAGAGTTTAAATAAAATCAAAATTATACTTGCCTCGTTTTTATTACTTCCTTCGTGCGGATCCTCGCTTCCGTTTAAGGATGGTCTCCACTTTTCTTTTCTTTTTCGTATAAAATTTGTAGCGCTCGATACAACTTTACCTTTTTTCATGGTACTTCCTCGAACGCCTTCGCTCATTCGTGCTATAAGATTCGTGTTCTGATTTTTGTCTTTTGATTTTAAATTACCCGATTCCTCAACAAAATCTTTTCCCTAAAATTAATACAATGTATCACCAAGTTGTTTAAAAAAACTTCCATCAGTAACAAAAAAACTTTTAAACAATAACAAAAAAATAATAGAAACGTGTTAAATTTTTTAGCGAGTTTATTTTATTGCTATAATAAAAAAATTGTCAAAATAACTGCAAGTTAAAACGTAATATGAATTCAAACAAAATTCCAGCCACATAAAGAAACCACTATAAAACTATTTTTCATTGTATTCTTTTTTTAGAATGTTTATTTTATAAATTATATAAGTATTGAATTTTTTATCAAGTAAAAAGAAATATTAAACTTATTAAAAAGTAAAGCCAATGAAACGAACATCTAAAGAATGATTATATTTTCCAATTCTGTTAGTTAAGACAAACCCATCATCGCGTGTAAACAACTTAAATAAACATATACGACTTACAAATCAAATAAGAAATCCGTCTAAATTTAATTGATTTATTGGCGCAACGACGATACGTTTGACAGAATATTAAAACCATAAAAAAAAAAAAAAAATCTAAACAAATAAAGAAGCAAGGGAAAAAGTAAAGTGTTTTTTTTTTTTCTTTATTTATTTTAAAAAAAAAAAGAAAGATTTAATACACCAAGCGACGCGAGGAACAGGCATTGCAAGTGTGCTTAAGAGTATCTTTAGGAGATGACAACCTGAAAAAAAAATTAAATAAATTTGTACATATAAAGTTTTCTGATCAAAAACAAAACATCTCTTAAAAACTGTTTGTTCACCGGAAATTTCCGAATTAAGAAAAATATTTCCAGTAATATCAAAAAACGTTAATGAAGCGATTGCAGTTAAAAACTCAAAATACAAAACAACCTAAATTTTTTTTTAATAAACGCTAACACACTTGTGAGTGTTAAAAAAATTTTTTTTTTGAATAATCAACATTCTGATAAACCTTACTTTTTACAAGAAATAATCAGAAGATTTTGATTTTAATATATAATTGGATGCTTTGATTGGATGCTTGAGCCGAATTGTGTGAGCTATTAGGCCTTTTTGACCTAAATATCATTTGCAAAAAATGCGAATTAACCAGGGCCAACGACACCAGGTGGGGGCAGGGGGCACGTTGCCCCCCACCCACACACACGCACACACACACTTTTTTCTAAAGTCTTTTTTTTTTTTTTATAAAAACTTATAGATATAGAAGACTTTTTTTAAGAATTGGCGGCTGTGCCCTTCCACTTCGAAACCCGTGTCGTCAATCCTGTTAACTACTAACAGTTGATATAAATATGATGGCCTTTGCTGGTATAACGATAAGAAGAAAAAAAAGGAAAACCTCATGCTAAATATAACAATAAAAACTAATTTAAAAATTGTTAATACCCTTGATGTTTCGTTTAACCTGTCTAACAATTCTTTTTCAGCCAATAGAAAACGAGGTAACCACCCTGTTATATATGTTTATGTTAATTCGAACTATCATCCAAATATTCTTAAATCTATATCCGCGATAATATCTAAACGGATAAGAAATATTTCCTTGCGTAAAAGGTATTAGTTTGGGCATCACCTTTTTACAATAGAACCTTAAGTCGAGCGCATTTAAAGAGAAAAACACTAAACATAATTTCTTGAAACCCTTCTTTTTCAATTAACTTGAAAAAAAAACACAGAACAGGCAGCCGATCTTAAATCTGATCTCACTTCTGATTGGAGAGTGGCTTGGAGAGTGGAAATTCTGATTGGCTTATAAATTTTATCTCTAAAACCCAGTTATTTACAACAAATAGCTATCGCAATACTGTCGAGATTCCTATATTTATGAATGGCAACCCTCTCACTGAGTCTTCTTCATTAGGTCTTCTTGGATAATCGTTTACTACTGCCTTTCACGGAAACCATATATACAATCAATTGCTAAATGAGCATCAACTACCCAATGGGCACCGGACCCAAAAAAGACGTTTTTTGAACGTTCAAAAGACGTCCAAAACATATGAAAGACGTTCAAAAGACGTCCAAGACAAGTATAAGACGTTTAAGAGACCTCGTTTTTTACGTCCGTGCCCACGAGGTAAGTTTGCTTCTCTTTATCGTTATTTTTTTACTCCTGACTTCATTCTTTACCTCTAAAAATTTCTTACTTGTGCTTGTTTGGAAACTGTTGTCATATTTAGGCTGGTTCTTCTAATGATGCTCTTTCTCTTCTAGACAGGGTCCAAAAATGCATAGTAAACAGAGTTGGACCTGCTCTATCTGCTAAGCTTGAGCTTCTTTCCCGTCGTTGTAAAGTTGCATATCTTTCTTTTTTCTAGAAATACTATCGTGGACACTGCTCGAAGGAACTATCATCTCTAGTTCCATCAACTAAACCTTCTCGTTTGACTCGTCATTCAGCAAAATCTTGTTTGTTTTTTCTTGTTCGTTTTTTCTGCTTTTGCATGCTCTAAAAACTTTTTTTCGTCTTGTTTTTTTCCCGCACTTCAACCCTTTGGAACTCTCTCCCATCTTTATACTTTCCTGACTCATACAGCCTTTAACTTTTCAAGTCTTCTATCAACCGTTTCCTTGCTTTATAACTCTATTCTTTTTTTCTAGAACTCGCAACTAAGTAGTGGTTGCTTGCAGCCTTTTTGTGAGTGAATCATAATTAAAAAATAATAATAATTGTTAAGAATCTATCATAAGATCGTAATTTTCATAAACTTTTATACAGAAACAACGTAAAAATCGCTACAGCTGACTTGTAAACTTTAGTAAAATCCTTCACACAATATAATCATACAAAAAATCCTTACTTCATTAAAATCATACATAAAACCCTCACTTCATGCAATAAAATCATACATAAAATCTTTACTTCACACAATAAATTTATACATAAAACCTTTCCTTTACTTAATATTAAAATTATATCTAGTAATTTTAACTTTAATTCTCCATCGAGTAATTGCTGTCAGAATAATTCATCAACACTTAATGGAAAATGTTTAAATAGAAAAATCATTTTCATTTTTAAAACATGTCAACAGGCAGAGAAACTCAAATATTTTGGGCTTAAGAAAAAAACATTTAAAGATTGATATTAGAATCATAAAAAATCTTTTTTTCATGAAAGCAAAACTAATTTTAAACAGAACAGGCCGGAACGTGAAAACTCGTATGTAGGAAATTGTGAAATTAATGCTTGATGGAGAAATATATTTAAACAAGCGTAACATGCCGTCCGTTAAGTACGTACGTTCATAGGGAGAGGATGGGAGAGGGGGGTCTTAAAATTGCGCACAAAAGCGTATGGAGAAGGGGGTAGTGTTCAATATTATTTTAATTAGTGCGTACGTAACGCACTAATTAAAATAAAACTCCTTGTTAACTTTTGTTTTTCTAATTTATCACAATTAGCAAGTACTTGGTAATAATGTTTTTAAATGAATAACAAATTTAAAAAAAAATTAAAAATAAAACTATACTGTCTCATTTTTGTCCATAATTCGCCAGCTAACAGAAACCTTAATTTTATGAATAAAGATCTTCGTTCAACAACATAAAAGGATGTATAGTATAGTGGTAGGGGTATAGTGTCCCTCTATGCACACACATGTCATCCCTTATACACTTACCCTAAGTAAAGCGGACGTGTATTTCAGGCAACTTTATTATTTTCCGCAAAAATTAGGTTTTACGCTTTATTTTGAATATTATTTATCTTGCGTAAAACTATCTTTTTACAACTCATTAAAAAGGGGTGTCAAATTTCTAAATTTTTGGCGTATGTACTTCATGGATGATCCCTAATGAATTTGCTTCTAGTGTCGTCACAAAAGTTGATCTATGAAGAATAACTTTATTGTCATCACAAAGAACTGTATATTAAAAAGAGTGTAAAGTAAAGTTTTTTAAATATATAAGAAGTAAATTTTAGAAAAGGTGCTAAAATAAAAGTTATAAGTTTATTTTATTTCCAAACTTCAAATAGTGAAACCTATCATCTAAATAAATATTAAATCTAATAATAAGCTCTTGTTCCTAATAGATAGAAAAAATCTCAATTTCTGTTGTTGTGCGTCTATAAGTAGACCAGTTTTTGTTAATTTCTAAAATTCAATTTACTTAGACTTGTAACTTCGTAAGTTTCACTTCTCGTATATTTTTATCGTTATTACGTCTGATAAAACTCATAGTTATATTTTAAATAAATGAAGTTTCGTAAGCATTTAGTTTTTAGTAATTGCTCTTTTTTTAAATCATGCATTTAATTTTATTTTAAATCAGAATATGATCTTTTGAGACCTATAACATCTTTTGAGACCTAGGTTGACTATGTTTTTGGAAATAATATAATAAGGACCCAAAAATAAAAATAAGTGCAAAACTTTTCTAATTAAAGGCCTATGTGCGTATATGTATGAATGTGTGTGTTTGTGATTGTGTGTGTGTGTGAGTGTCAGTGGCGGATTAAGAATTTTTGGGGCGCGGGGCTATTTTTGTTTTTGGAGGCCTTTTTATGAGCCAGAGCCTAAAAATGACTAAGTAAAAAAAAAAAGGTCCTCTAAAATTTTTAGGGGCCCTGTAAATTTGTGTTGCCCGGGGCTATAGCTAGTCCCCCCTTGATCCGACACTGGTGTGTGTGTGTGTGTGTGTGTGTGTGTACGTGTGTATTTAAAAGTGTAACTTTTTTTTTTTGGATTGAGATTAAGTTATTTTAGTTGCTTCAATAAAATCAAACTAACAGAAAATCTAGCAGTTTTGTGACAGAGCACCGCGAAGTTTTGTGATAGAGCACCGCGGAGTTTTGTGACAGAGCACCGCGGAGTTTTGTGACAGAGCACCACGGAGTTTTGTGAGCACCGCGGAGGAGCATTTAACTAGGAAGTTCTGTTAATAAATTTAAATTTAGTTAAGTTAAGATTTAGTTAAGATTAGTAAACAGAAACTTTTAAACCAACAGCCAGTACATTTGATGGTTTATAGAAACGAGTTTTTTTTTATTTTTTGTTTCCTGGCATAATCATAAGCATGCATTTGTTGGCTCCAGATCTAAAAGTTATCTACCCCAAACACAAAAAAGCTCTTGCCTCTCTTCATCTTATCAATATGTAGTTAAATGTTTTTGTAAAGAGACAACATTTTGATAATTATTAAAATGTTAAAAAATACTTAAAAAAAAAAATTATGTTTACTAAGTATCCTAACTAAGTAAACAAACAAAATAATCTGCAAGAAATATGATAGCAAAAATCTTTTTTAAGAACAAATTTATGTTTATCTGTCATTATTCTTCAAATTACTAGTAAAAATTAAATGGCACAAATTATTAATATAAAACTATAAAGGATATTTTACAGTATTCAACAAAATCAAACAGCTTTTGAGTTTAAAAATATCAGACCTCACTCTTTGTTCTTCCAAGAATGGCATGCTCATTGTTATTTTCATTGACATACCCATCAAACACATCTTCGCTGATTTTTCTCGAATTTGATAAAGTGTTGCTTCTTGATCGAAGAGCATTCCTGCTATACGAACTCATTTTCTTCTTTTTTTTTGAACTTTTACTAAGTTAAACTTGTATTTTTTGTTTGTTTGATTAGCAACAACACCGCAAACCTTTTCGGAATGTTTTCATTTAATAGTTCATGTGATCTTGAGTTGACAAAGTCAGCGATTAAACAGCAAGAGATGTTTAGGTGAAATATTTTGTGCAGTTTAAAATAAAAAATTATAAAATAACAAGCATGATAAAACTTTGTAGTTCTAAAGAAAATGTTTTTATAGTAATGAATATTGCAGAAAATAAAACTTTTATTAATATTTTGTTAGGGTGTTTTGAGTTGGGTTTTTCCGTTACCTTCAGCAAAAAAATTATTTGTAGTACTCCTTTTTTTTTGTAAACGAAATAATAAGGGAATTTTTTGTTAAAACAATTTTTCGCAGTTAAAATCAAAGTAATATTTGAAATAACCACCAGCTAAATTTTCATTATGCTTTTCTAATGGATGCAAAAAATTAACAACCCCATTTCAAATTAAGTAATAATTATTTACCGCTATTATCATCAGTAAATTAGTATTTACATACAGCAAATATGTAAATATATATAAAGTAAATGTCTGGTTGCCGGTTGTTTTAAACTCGGTTCTCGGTTGTTCTCTTGTATGCTTCTAACTGGATTGTGACAATTGGTAAAGAAATCAAACTTTTTAAGCTGAGAGGAGGGTAGTAAGAAGTTCAAAAAATGGTACTTTTTGTTCACAAAGTTTAAAAAACTTTAAAAAATTTTTAAAGTCTATTTACTTGATTTAAAAAAATGCTTTTATTAATTTTTTACCAATAAAACTAGGACGGTATTAACCGTGACGAACCGGTTTGTGTCAATCTAGAAATCATAAGAAAATCTGGTAATTAAAGCAAGTAAAGCCAGTGAAAAACTTCCTAACTAAATTCTTTAGTCCTAGAACTTGAATATATTTTTTTGTTTTATAAGATATTACCAAATTAAAATTCTTTTTATTACTTTAAAGGATGATAGACATAAAACTATATTTGAAATCATATTTAACTTTTTTAAAAGATAAACCTTTGAAAATTAACACCTGAAAATTTAGTGCTAAAAGTAAAGAAAGGAGAAGTAATTATATTTTTTACCATTAGTCCTTTTTTTTACACTTTATTTTATGCAGCACGAGAAATAATGTGTAGATTGGTAAAATTACCATAGTTTACGCATTTATTTACTTATGCAAAACTTCAAAGTGAAAAAAAAAGAAATTTTCTTGCTATTAGCTCATCATCGAGGGTCTGTGAAAAAGCCGTAAGGTTTTTTTGGACTAAAATTGAAAAAAAAAAAAATTTAAACTTATATAATAATAAAGTTCTAAATAATATTCCTTAAAAATTATTCAAGATTATATTATCTATATAAACCGTAGCTAAATTACATTTTGATAAAAACATGTATGAACTTAAAAATTGCAATTGGCTTAAATAAGTTTTTTCTTATTATCATATATTATCTGCTATAGTTTGTCTATTAAACGACTGTCCCGTAAGTAACAAAAACAGCATTTTTTTAAAACTTACACCTAAAAACGATCTCTAATTATCATATAAAATGGATTATGGCAATTACAAGATTCTAAATAACTTATTATAACATATTGATGCACTTTTTTTAGGCATACATGCATTATTTATATACGTCCCGTAAGTAACAATTCTATGTCCTGTAAGTAACGACTCATTGTAAATTGATACTGGCGTTGTTTTTTAAAGTAAATAGTTAAATTTAATAACAAAACAAATAACAAAAAGTTTTATAGAATTTTTTTTTTAAACTTTTGAAACATATGGTATTAAAACATATGTTAAAATTACTGTATAAAACATTTTCTATAGAATTGTTAAACTTATGTTTCTATAGAAATTATGAATTTCTTTACAAAATTATAACAGAAATTTTATAGATCAATTTATAGATTTATGTTTCAAAGTTTTATATAAATGATATAGAACTTTTTTTCAATAGTTTTTAAAAAAAAAAAAAATTCAAATTTACAATTTCCAATATTTTTGTTTATTGTTACTTATTACCAGTCATTGTTTTTTATTTCAGATCAAAATATAAATTAATGCTGAAAGACAAAGTAAAAGTCTTAATCTTGTTTTAACAAAGGAAAAAAATAAAAAATATATGTTAAAAAAAACTGAATAAAAAAAAAAGAAATAAACACTCAAAGTTACCCAAACATAAAAAGCAAAAAGCTGATATAGAAAGAAAGCTTAAAGAAAAGGTAAAAAAGCTAAATAGAAAAAAAAACTAATGAAACTATTTGCTACAAGAAACATATAATACACCTTCTTTTCTTTCAAGGGCTGTAAATAAAGTAAAACTAATACCCAATAGTCCATCAAAGCAAAGAGCAGTTGTTTTAAAATTAGCCTCTATACTACATTGCAACATTGTAGAATGTTCTTATGGTTTTACAGGAGTTACTTTCTTAAATAAAGAAATCAGGAATAAAGTTGTTAATTTTTGTGAAAATAATGATATGTTTCCTGAAAAAAAAAAAAAAATTTGAAAAAAAAAAATAATAATGAGAAAAGAGATTATATTCAAAAAAGGCACATATACATGAACATAAAAAAGATGCATGCTTTGTTTATAACAGGAAATAAAAATGTAAAGATTGGGGTAAGTAAATTTGCAAGTTTAAGACCTTTACATATCGTCCTGAGTCGACAAACGCCAGCTAATGTATGCACTTACATATATAATCAAAATATAATTCTTGCACAAAAAAAACTCTCCGACTGCAGTGCAAATATACCTGTGTATTCAAGCAAACATCCAGAGTCTTGTCTTCAATATCCATACAAATCAGCATGTTGGTTTAGTGAGGGTCAGCACAAAAAATGTGGTTTCAAAAAAAAGTATTTATTGCAGTGTGATAAAGAAACTTTAAAGGCTTTTATTGAGTGGAAACAATGTTAAAATGATAATGAAAGTATGAAGCAAATGGTTCAAAGTACTTCAGTAGCACATTTGTACAATCACCTGTGCTTACTGATACCATCCTTTTTAACTCATAGCTTTATTTAAAGACAGCAGCATAAGAGTTTAGAATCTGACAGAAATAGCACAAAAGAGGTGGATTGTATATCAGTGTTGAAAATTGATTTTGATGAAAATTATAAATGTTTTTCACAAAGTGAAGTTAAAAATGCAATCTGGAATCATCACCAGATAACTATTTTTACTTCTGTATTGTGGTAGTAAAACATGAAATACTGTCATACAGTTGTTAGTGATTGTACAACTCATGATATAGAAACATCATTAGTAATTATTGGTTAATTGATTCAAAGCCTACCAAAAAAAGTTGTTGAGTTAAGAATTTGGACAGAAAGCCCTTCAAGTCAGTTTAAAAACAGATTTATTATGTGCTCAAGCTCTCTAAAAAAAGTATGGAATTGTTATAAAATGAAACTACAGTGCAACTAGTCATGGTAAAGAACCTGTAGATGGCTTAAGAGCAACTGTTAAAAGAATTGCAACTTTTTCTCTTTTTTCAAGTTTGGTGCGAGAATTGGAAAAGAAACAAGTAGCCAGATAACTTATTAAAGTAAAGAAAGACATGCTACTAGATAAAGAAATACCAGTTTTTCCACGGTTGATTCTATGCAGTGGCGAATTAAGACTTCTTGGGGCCAGGGCAATTTTTGTTTTTGGAGGCCTTTTTATAGGCCAGAGCCTAAAAATAACTAAATAAAAAAAAATAAAACAAGGTCCTCTGAAATTTTTGGGGGCACCTAAATTATCGGGGCTAAAGCCCCCTAGCCCCCTTGATCCGGCACTGGTTTTATTCTCAAAATTAGTACATTTGATTGGCAAGAAACCTTGGCTCCTGTTCAACCTACTCGGAATAGAAACTGTCTGGTTACACTTGCCGCCAGAACAGTGGGAAACAAGTAGTGATTTTCAAGAAGCAGCTATGTTTAATCGTCATGTAAAAGTTGTAAATGATCTTGTTGAAAAAATCATAAAACTCATCACAGACTTTAACTAAAGATGAAATACAGAAACAATATTTGTTACAGGTTATTAAAAAACAGACGTTATTAAAGACATATTATTAAACAGACAGGTTATTAAAAAACAGTGTCAGATTTTAAAAAACAAAACCTGGAAACATTTAAAATGACACCACCACAAATATTTTTTTTTCCTGACACATCAGTACTAATTTAGCATATTTAAATCTTGTAAAATAACCTTTTTCATTATGTTCATTGTTCAAATAAACTTATCAACAGTTTTTCTAAATTTTGAAAATTTTTTTTTTTTTATATTTTCAATGTTACAATTTTTTCGTAGTAGCTGCCTGTATAAAATATAAAAAAAATAATTTATATTTTCAATGTTACAATATTTTGGTAGAGCTGCCTGTATCGGACCGAACAATCAGACGACGTGCTGTTGAAGCCGGATTGTTTTCTCGACGCCCTGCAAAGAAACCGCTGATTTCACTAAAAAAACAGAAGAAAAGACTCCTGTTTGCTTCATCTCATATTGAATGGAATGTGCAGAAATGGCGAACTGTTTCAAGACAACCACCTACCGGTATGGATTGGCCGTCTGAATCTCCGGATCTCAATTCTATTGAGAACCTGTGGGAGATCGTCAACCGTAGTATTTATTGTGAAGGTGTTCGTAATAAGGATCAACTGTTTAAACAAATTCAAAAGGCCTGGGCAGCGATTCGACAAAGTTTCATTGATCACCTGATCAAATCTATGCCTCGAAGATGCAAGGCTGTGATCGATAACCAAGGATTTGCCACTAAATATTGATAGCGAAATACAGCTTGGTCAAAATTTTGTGGAGTTGCACTTGTTTTGTCCGGAAGGAAATCAACTTTTTTTAATACTTTTGATTAATTTATTAATTTTCGTATACAAATAATGACTTTTGTGATGAATAAAACTTGAAGAACGTTGTCTCTAAACAGTTACATAGTTGTTTCTCTAAATTGAAAAAATGTAACACTTTTATATAAAGAAACTAAATTAGCATTATTTGGTTGCATTTGTTTTGACCGATACTGTATATATATATATATATATA